GTTCCTTGTTCACCCAACACAAGCACCATATACTCACAATGTTCCCTGTTCACCCAACACAGGAACCATACACTCACAATGTTCCCTGTTCACCCAACACAGGAATCATACACTCACAATGTTCCTTGTTCACCCATCACAGGAACCATACACTCACAATGTTCCCTGTTCACCCAACACAGGAATCATACACTCACAATGTTCCTTGTTCACCCATCACAGGAACCATACACTCGCAATGTTCCCTGTTCACCCAACACAAGCACCATATACTCACAATGTTCCCTGTTCACCCAACACAGGAACCATACACTCACAATATTCCCTGTTCACCCTACACAGGAACCATACATTCAGTGTTCCTTGCCCACCCAACACAGAAAACATGCACTCACAATGTTCCCTGTTCACTCAACACTGGAACCATGCACTCAGTGTTCTCACCCAACACAGGAACTCCCTCGTCCTGCCCGTGTTCTCACCGGCTGGTCAACATCTACGAGTCTTCATCATCGATGAAGGAGCAAAGGAGATGGATCGCAGGGCTCTGGCTATTCTTGCAGCTTCTAGACAACTTGCAAATGAGTATGTAGCAAAACAAAGCTGCACGTGGTTCATATTAATGCTATTTTTGAAAGGGATATAAAATGTTTTATGTAAATGTGTCATACTAATCTGTACATCCTCATTAAAGCTCTTTAAAGTCGAGCTATGAAGGGCTGCTGGGAATTCACTATATTTATACCTTTGTACGAAATTTATAGTCCGAAACGTTTCTTTCCTTTAAATAAAACAATGGGTTAAGTGCGAAAATACGTAGTCACAGCAGAATATTTCTAATCTTTGGCTGACATTTGCAGTTTCGACCTGACACCGCGACAAGGAGGACTAGGCTTGAAGTCCACAGCAGTGAGCGGTACACAACTGGAAGACATGTGTCCACGGGATCCCAGCTGCACTAGTCCTAACTCCAAGTACCGTACTGCTGATGGATCCTGCAACAACCTTGCTAACCCATCCTGGGGCAAGAGCAACACTCCCAACCAGAGGATCTTACCACCAACTTATGAGGACGGTCAGTGTTGTAATGAATTAAATTAATAACTGGTCAACACTCATATTCTGGCCAATGAATTACACCGATTTTAGGGTACGGTGGTGGTGCTGATTCCAAATATGTTGTCAGTTTTATCTTGACTGGCTCTAGTTTTTGATAAACACGGTATCTTATTGAAAAAAACATAAAAGTTGCGAAATATATATTGATCTGGCGAGGCTAACTTACAAATCGCGTTGAAAATATTTTTAGATCATGCAAAAGTCAAATCATGAAATACATACTAGCACTTCATTCTATATAATAACAGATTAAAATAGTAAGATAATTCAGATACACTAATTACTGTACATGATTTTCTTCTATGTTGGTTATCAGCACAGTCCCGCTGGAGGCTCCAGCAATAGTCTGCTGTGTGTGTGTGTGTGTGTGTGTGTGTGTTGTGTGTGTGTGTGTGTGTGTGTTGTGTCGTGTGTGTGTGTGTGTGTGTGTGTGTGGTGTGTGTTGTGTGTGTTCCGTCTGCCTTGATACCTTTCCACCTTATATCTTTATGGAACCTCTCCCCTTGTTGCTCATTTATCTCACAAAGATTATGTGGAAATCTGTCTAGTTGGCTGTGGAGGAAGTGTTCCTTTCTGCTCATAGTAACTAAATTCTTGAAGTTTGTCAGCATATTTTGCACAGGTTCTTCATAAACGTCTGCTGAATTTTGTTTTTCAGAAGATTTGGGAAAGTTTCTTACACAAGTCTAAAGTTATTGTTGGTGGAAGTTTTGTTGGTCAAGAAACAGGACAAGTGTCTCGTGATAATAGTTAAACGTGTCTGTGGAGAATGTAACAATGTCAGTGAATTGCAAGACGTTGTTCCTGAAATATTAAGACTAGGTTTGTAAGGAGATGTTAGTGACGTGAGGACAGACATGACCATACGCTGGAACATTGTATCTTAGTGTCCAAAACATCCAACTTTCCAGGACACCTCCAAGTAAACCTTACAGCAGTGGTTCCCAAACTGGGGGTAAATTACCCCCTGGGGTAATTTAACCATTTTTGGGGGGTAATGGAGGGGTGACAGAAAAAAAGTTATGAATTCTGAAAATCAAGAAAACAATGCGGTACCCGGTATGAGGATTTATTGTTAACTTTGTTAGTATATAAAGTTGTAAAGTAAACCTATTATAAGTAAGTAATAAAGTTAAACCAAATAACAATAAACATCAAAAACTAATATACAGTATTAGAAAAGAAGAAATATATAGCTAAGTGTGTGGAAACCCAAAAGTATTTTGACAAATATGCTTCAGGACAAAAGTCACTCAGTAGCCCAGATCGACCTGTCCAGTACGTGTCACTCACTTCCTGAGGCTGCCTCTATTTCACACTGTCAGTTTATCTGTGAGCATCAGCCGAGGTAGACATAAGCTGTATGTATGTGTACTGCCCTGTGCAGTATATAGTTAGTATTTACCCACTGTTACTGTGAATTTGTAGCTATTATTAATTTTATATATAATGTATGTGTGGTTCTTACGTTTTCAATGGTTTTGCTAGGATTAGCAGAGTATGCGAGGCTGTATACGTTCACGTTTAGCCATATATATCAATAATAACAACATTTTGTGAAAGGGGTAACATGCTTTATGTGGCATGTTAAATTGGGTAACAAGCTGAAAAAGTTTGGGAACCACTGCCTTACAGGATATGGTAAACCACTTCAGTGTTCATGATAATAGCTCTGAAATCTTAAAACTGTATTCACATTTTGTATCGACTAAATGGATGAATTAAATTTTCATGAGACCGCAACCCAACAATGACCCATGCTTTTGGTAGTAATATGGGACCTTTTTGTAGATTAACTTTATATTGTCTTGGGAACATTAGCAATATGAAGCGACTGTGATATACGAAATGACTAATATTTTTGTGATGTAACTATGGTCAATAGGGTTTGATAAAGTTACATTGTGACCAGTGAAGTCATTTTTTTTCCACGCTCACAAAGTGAGCATGAGATGCAACATAAACTAGTCACTCAAGAGACACTACTGATACAGGTCTTATTCAGATGATGGTCGTAAACTTTGTTATATTTATTTAATGATAGCATTTAATATTATATAGTTACTTATTATATTGAACCACTCGTCTCCCATAGAGGTAGGGTGACCCGAGAAAGAAACATTCACCATCATTTACACTATCACTGTCTTGCCAGAGGCTCGCAGATACGACAGTTTTAAATGTCACTCTTAAAAGCAAATATCCCAAACCCCCTCTTTAGAGTGCAGACGCTGTACTTCCCACCTACAGGACTCAAGTCTGGCTAACAGGTTTCTCTGAATTCTTCACAAAATATTACCTTGCTTACAATCCAACAGCTTGTCAAATCCCAAAAACCATTCTCCACTCCTAACACGCTCACACATGCTTGCTGTATGTCCAAGCCCTTTGCACACGCCAAAAAAAACTTTTACCCCCTCCCTCCATCCTTCCTAGGACGACTCCTATATCGCCTTCCCTCCAATACAGATTTATACACCCTCCAAGTCTATTTTGCTCCATCATCTCTAAATGACCAAGCCGCCTCAGCAACCCTTTCCTCAGGCCTCTGGATAATACTTTTAATAACTCCGCACCTCCTAATCTCCAAACTACGAATTCTCTGCGTAATATTTAGCAATATGAAGTGACTGCGATTAGACACATCTCCACTGCCTCCAGCCTCCTCCTCGCTGCAACTTTCACAACTCTCAAGCATATGAATAACATGTACTCTTAACACTCGACAGTCAGTGGTCCATTTCTCCACAGGAGTGTTTGAACCTCGCTCCAGAGCAGTTGATGGCTCTCCTCTCCCCAATGTGCGTCGCATTAGCAGTAACGTGTTGTTAGACGTAAATCAGCCAGACGAGGCCTACACATTGTCCCTCATGGTGTGGGCACAGCTCATCGACCATGAATTTGCCCATGTTCCTTTCCCTACTATGGGTAAGACAATTTTCCAAAAGTTACATTCTATCTTGTTTATAACAACTGACTCCCCAAAATTCTGGAGTTATGTATATATTGCTCTTTTTTTTTTATCATATATCAGCTTTATTTATAAGGCAATATTTGCGTACGAAAAATCAACAATATTTAAATTGTTTCTTTTTAAATTCATTATATTTCACACTCTTAGATAATGGAGATGGAATTGAATGTTGTCCTAATGGAACACTGGTAGCTGAGAACCTTCGTCATCCAAGGTGCATGCCCATTGATCTCACTGGTGACCCCTTCTATGGTCCCCAAGGCAGAACCTGCATGAACTTCGTCAGGAGCATGGTTGCGGTCAGAACGGGTTCGGACTGCACTTTTGGTCATGCTGAGCAGGTAAGTGGAGTGACTAGTGCAACATTTATTCTTAGTTTATTCCCATGTTATACCTGGGATTTTTGTTCCAGTTTAGCTATATATATTAACTTTGTAAACGTAATAAACCCTACAGTATCTCTGTTGCTTACTTAAAATATTGAATGTTTATACTGATTTTCTTTCCACCAGTGATCACAAGAGTAATCTGCTAATCTCTTGTTTCATAATTTCATTTAAGGTTCTATACTGCTTTTACTAATCACTGTTGAGGTATTATATTAATTGATTACCAGATAAATTACTGATACAGGAGGGCCCTGCTTTATAATACTTCGCTTTACTGCGTTTTGCTAATGCAGTGGTTTTCAATTATACTCAGTCTTTATTTATTCAAACTTCCTTCAATAAATACACTCATCACTCCCTATAAGCTAAGAACGGAAATATTTTAAGATAAGTAATGTATGAACTGTAAAATCATTTTGTAGGCCTAGCTCTATTACTTAGTATGAACATGTTATCCAACTTTTATATTCATTTAAAGGTGAAAAGTCCATGTTTCACTTCACATCAAATTTCATTTTACAGCAGTAGCCCGGAAACTAGCCTGTTCTATAAGGTAGATACTACATTAACACATTCTTGTTTCTTTCATTTTCAAGGAAGAGTTTATTTGAATCTATGGAAACAAAATTTCACTACTTTTGTATTTAGAAAATATTGTGCTAGATGTTCACTCTAATCCATGGATTATATGTAACACAGCTGAACCAGCTTACACACTGGATAGACGCCTCTGTGGTGTATGGCTCCACTCAGGACCAAATGAAGGACTTGAGGTCATTCAGTAACGGACTCATGAAGATCTCTGGTAACAACCGCTAACCCATTAACAGCACCAGGAGGAGACTGCGAGGCTCGGGAAACGTGGAGCTTTCTGCTTCACTGCAGGTTCGTCACTTATGACACTAACTTTATAGTAATGCTGATGTTTAGAATCAGCTGTAACTTAGTGATTCATACGAGGAGCAGGATGTACAATGTAATTTAGAAAATCGTTTTATTTTGAGAAAAGGGACGCAATATTTAGAAAAAAAAACTCTCATGATTTTGGTCTCTGATGGAGAGGTTAGGGTTTGTGCTCTCCGACGCTAATTCGAATGATATGGTTGAGGAACACTTTTTACTTAACACGCAATGGGAACAATACACCTCTTGTATACCAGAAAAACAAATATATTCAGTATTGTATAAAATGTTGCTTCAGTTAAGCCAATGTGGGAAAAGTTATTATGAGTTATATGAGACTTGTATATAATATTATGTAGATGATGCTTTCATTAACACTTTGTAATGGGCTCGTCCACCTACAATGAATAAACATGGCCAAATAAATTTTAGAAGCAAATCCCATTCATAAAGAACTGAATTATACATTCCATTAATTTATAAACTTTTAAAAAAGTTTCCACAACATGTTCACATCTACACCACTTAGAATATTCAATAATAAAAGTAACAACAATACGTCAGTGTATATAATACAACATTGCATCACATTTATGAAGTAAAATATATGCTCTGGGGATCCTTATAGGTGACTCACGAGTGAACGAGCAGCCTAGCTTGACCGGTCTTCACACCCTGTGGGTGAGACAGCACAACCGTGTAGCAGGAGAACTTCAGAGACTGAACCCCCAGTGGTCAGACGAGGCTGTCTTCCAGGAGACCCGCAGGATCATCATTGCTCAGGAACAACACATCATTTACAACGAGTGGCTCCCCATCATCATAGGTGTGTGGTGTTGGTCAATGTATCTACGTGAGCTCACAGGATCTGAGATAATCGACAGACGTGATTATCTCCTGTCCCATTTTGTTTATTTACATTTAGTGTCGTGTATGATCACCCTTCAATACCTCTAAGAAGCATTTCACTTGTTTAACACCATCGTACTGAAGGTCTTTCAGTGAAATATTCTACTTTTATGTCTTAATAATATATTAACATCACCTGTGTTAACTCCGTGGGCGCCATTGCATGTATGTTATGAAGTCAGGAGTGTGCATTTTTTAAAAATTAGTCTTCAAAAATTAAAGTATATATAGCTACTTAAGGTAAAGTGGTGTCATAGCGTGGTCTTTTTTTTAAGCGAGTGCCAAGAAGTGTACCGGAGCATTTATCCTGGTAATGGATCCAGCAGTCTTCAGTCTTGCATGGTAAATGTTAGTTTCTGCACACCTTTGTGGTGTTTACGCAGCTCTGAGGGCGATGACTATTCTTTCAGAGATGGAATTTTATTTTTCAGGAAGAAACTTTATGAGAGCCTTTGGTCTGAGTCCTCTTCTTTCGGGCTTCAGCAACGACTACAACCCCAGCATCAACCCCAACATGAACAATGAATTCTCTGCAGCAGCCTTCAGGTTTGGACACACCCTGGTGCAGGGAACCCTTCGGTGAGTCATGTTTATGTAGGTTGTTGTGATAGCTGAACTCTTATTCTATTGATAATCCTTAAAGATAAGTAGAGTGTTTGAAGTTCTTTAAAAAAAGGAAAAATATTTTTCTCGAATTATTTATATGGCAATGAAAGTGTGATGCAAGATAGACAACTTCATATCCTTACTGTTGTCTTGCTAATATGATAGTAACTTCAGACACGCTTTCTGAAGTGTAAGGGAAGTGAAAAAAAAATATAGAACTAAAATACAAATTTAATTTCTGATGTAATCTGTAACACTATTTTCACGAACATTTTGAGTTTTTAATACTCCATTTCTGTATTAAAGCAAAAGTTTTTGCTCTGACCCGTGTAGATTGTTCACGCAAAGTGGCGGTGTTGACACCATCAGGCTCCGCGACCACTTTAACTCTCCTCATCTGATAGAGTTGCAAAATCGACTGGACGATGTTGTTCGAGGCTTCACTCAACTTGCTATACAGAAGTTTGACTCCTTCATCACACAGGATTTGTCTAACCATCTGTTCCAGGTGGGTCAAGTTACAGTTTCTAATTAAAATTGACTGATATTTCTAAAATCTAATAGGTGAAACAACGTAAATTATCGGTCCGTAATTGTAATTTGAAATAAGTTATGAAAAACATTCATAATTACTGAATCTAGATTACAGAAATCTCAACTTCACTTCAGTTTTCATCAGTCCCTCTTACCCAAGATTTATCAAGCATATTAATTTGCACACAAATATTATCTAAAAAAAAAAAATATACACACTTCATGAAAAAAACACGTTAATTAATAATGCAGAAAAACATTACTCGATGAAGTTGTAGTTTATCGCATTGTTCACTATCACTAATATTTAAGGTATTCTTGTTAGTATCTAAGATCTTCTGGCAGCGGCTCCAACACACTGACCAACTTACAATAACTTGTAGACGACCTGAGTTAATTCATAGTGTGCAGCTGATTTATTACTGTACATAGTATTTTTAAAATTAAATTAATGTCCCATTAATTTAGATCCTCTTATAAACGATTTTTCCTTATTGTGCGTGTTGCATATATTGTTTGACACGGTATACTCTGAAACAAATTAATATAAATTATCTTAGAACTATGTAAGTGTATGTGGGAGCAAAACCTTCTCATTAAAACACAATGCATTTTTTGCATTTATTATAATTTGTTTCTCAACTATTGTTTTCAAAGCTTCTTTCCCGACTAAAACATTAATGCACTTATTTGATAAAACGGGCTGAGTTTCACAGATGGCAGATACACAAGCTGTCCATTGCTACCTTTCCTAAGATGATTATAATTACTCTTGCTACTAACAGACTCCCAGGTTTAACTTTGGAATGGACTTGATGAGTCTGAACCTTCAACGCGGCCGCGACCACGGCATCGGCACCTACAACAGCTTCAGAGAGATCTGTGGTCTGCCGCGCGCTCGTACCTTCAACGACCTCTTAGATCAGATCAATCCTGAAGTAAGTACTGCTTCTGGTTTCTTCTTACTTCATATGTATGATTTCTTGATGTTTTTGTACTTAAGTTCCCAGTCTTTCGCATGTGCTCATTTATTATTCCATATTTTTAAATCTAATTACCATGCTTTTAACAGCATTATTATTTTCCTTTAATTAAGAATGTTTGCATGTTAAGTTGCCGAGATATTACATATATATGTAATACATATGTAATACATCATTCTAACTCGTGTTACTAAACAAAACAGAACGTTCGAAAACTAGCCAGAGTTTACAAGAGTGTTGATGATATTGACTTCTTCGTGGGTGGAATCACTGAGAGGCCTGTACCTGGCAGTCTCCTGGGCTGGACCTTCCTCTGTGTCGTGGGAGACCAGTTCGCCAGACTCAAGAAGGCAGATCGATACTTCTACGACCTCAGAGGACAACCAGGCTCCTTCAGCGAAGGTAAGATTTAAGAGTTTTCATTGATGCATACAAAAACAATACAATACTGTTGATGCACCAGAACACATTAATATCTTTACAAACTAGCTGGTACTCATCAACATGAATTTTAAATACATTAGGCCGCGTCTTGGATCTGTGATTCAGCACAGTGTTGCTAACTAGAGTACTGATGACCACATTGTTCCTGTTTACAGCTCAGCTGCAGCAAATCCGTCTCTCCTCATGGGCCAGGATCATATGTGACAACGCCAACATTGCGGCCGTCCAACCACTCGCTTTCAGGCAGACAAACAGCAGATTGTAAGTCCTGCATGTTAATGTGGTATAAGTGATGCTTAAGTTGGCTAAGATTGCACCACAACCCATTTTCTAATTTCCAAAGGCCAGTAGAAATTAATGCCATCAATTTAGGTCATGTCACAGTATTGTGTTGGGTGCCCCAGTTTTATATACATGCTTTAAAAATTCTGAAGGTGGTGTTGATGTGTACCCGAAATATATAGTATTTGTACTCTTTGCTTGGGATCCATGTGGGTTCGCTTGCAGGCATTAATCAATCCCTGACTAATGGAGAGGCCATTTACTCGCGATCATCCATCAAGGGACTGGCCAGTCCCATCTATGCTTACCTTCAGTACTGCGCACGTTTTTTCTCGATATTTCGTTGGAATAATAATAATAATAATAATTAATAATTATTTATACAAGTACATGATACAACTTATACAGACCTAGCTGATATCAGTGACTTACTTTGTAGAAAGCCTTTGGTTTTGCAAAGCATTTCGGGCAACATACGTTAATTTTGTCTCTCAGGATGCGACCCACAGGATAACAGATGTCTTAAGGAAACACGCCCAGTGTTTCAATCCGTACCAGGGATAGAACCCCGGACACGGTGTGTGAGCTGAGTGCCACTAATGCACATAAGTTATCGAACATTCTAATAAGTACTGTAATTTTTTTTATCATTCCTAGATGATTGTAACTTTTTTTTTCCTCTTTTCAGTAACCAGCCAGTGGCGTGTAATAATCCAATCATCCCACGACCTGTGTGGTCACCTTGGCGCGGGGAGACTGTTGTTGTCTAGCTGTTGTGCTGTGTGGCTCTCATGGTACCTTGCCTCTTTCATGGTACCTAGCTTCTCTCATGGTACCATATCTCTCTCATGGTACATTGCTTCTCTCATGATACCTTGCCTCTCTCATGGTACCTTGCCTCTCTCATGGTACCTTGCCTCTCTCGTGGTACCTTGCATCTATCATGGTGCCTAACTTCTCTCATGGTGCCTTGCCTCTCTCATGGCGCCTTGCCTCTCTCAAGGTCCCTAGCTTCTCTCCTGGTACCTTGCATCTCTCCTGGTGCCTTGCATCTCTCATGGTACCTTTCCTCTCTCATGGCACCTTGCCTCTCTCATGGTACCTTGCCTCTCTCAAGGTCCCTAGCTTCTCTCATGGTACCTTGCCTCTCTCGTGGTACCTTGCCTCTATCATGGTGCCTAACTTCTCTCATGGTGCCTTGCCTCTGTCATGGTGAGTAACTTCTCTCATGGTACCTAGCTTCTCTCATGGTACCCTGCCTCGCTCATGGTACCCTGCCTCTCTCATGGTACCTTGCCTCTCTCATGGTACCTTGTTTCTCTCGTGGTACTTTGCTTCTCTCCTGGTACCTTGCCTCTCTCAAGGTACCTTGCCTCTCTCAAGGTACCTTGCCTCTCTCAAGGTCCCTAGCTTCTCTCATGGTACCTTGCCTCTCTCGTGGTACCTTGCCTCTATCATGGTGCCTAACTTCTCTCATGGTGCCTTGCCTCTCTCAAGGTCTCTAGCTTCTCTCATGGTACCTAGCTTCTCTCATGGTACCTAGCTTCTCTCCTGGTACCTAGCTTCTCTCCTGGTACCTAGCTTCTCTCCTGGTACCTAGCTTCTCTCCTGGTACCTAGCTTCTCTCCTGGTACCTAGCTTCTCTCATGGTACCTAGCTTCTCTCCTGGTACCCTGCCTCTCTCATGGTACCTAGCTTCTTTTAGGGCACCTAGTTCCACGGTCTCTGATGAGACACTGCTCTATTGCCTTGCATATTCTCTCACAGACTACTTGCTGTGTGTTCCTGACCTTAAATTATGAATGACACGAGGGTGACATGAGGGTGACATGTGGGTGGCATGAGGGTGACATGAGGGTGACATGAGGGTGACATGAGGGTGACATGAGGGTGACATGAGGGTGACATGAGGGTGACATGAGGGTGACATGAGGGTGACACGAGGGTGACACGCTTGACCAGTCACTCCACACCTCCTTTTTAATATAAATAAATAAAAAATACGAAGTTCTGAGCGTTTTCATATATCTTCGATCAAGGTTAAATTACTTCCCATTACCCCCACACTGTGCAACCTTCAAGGTTTAGAGCTTCTCTATGACTAGAGGTAGGAACCTTGATGCTGATGAAGAGCTCTTGATCCAAAAAGCTGGAACTACCCTACGCTTCGTTAGACGAAACCTGATTTATACACAAAGAATTAAAAGTCACACTACCGTTGCTGGAACAATACACAAATAATCAGCGCTTATGAGATTATATATATATATAATATATATATATATATATATATATATATATATATATATATATATATATTATATAATATATATATTATATAAATAATATGAACTCGCGAAACAAGTGATTTTGAATCAGTAACAAAACTGCGACTGGCTAGGAGACTATCCTGTGTTCCCATGTCCAGCCCTGTGAGAAGTGAACAACGTACACATCCATCTATCCACTGGACCAACAATCCTTAAACACCAGGTGCTCAGCAGCACTGAGCGTGTTACATCAGGGTTTTAAGAAATCCAACACTTGAGGCAAGAGCTTCATTAGATACACATGCAAATAGTCTAAAGTGAAGCTGCAGTGAAGACTAAAAATCATACAGGAAAATAAATTTATATCCCTTAAGTATAATCCTTAAATTCATTAGGATTTGATTATATTATCTTGTAATAACAATACAACTGGGTAAGGAGATTACTATTGCTTCTCGCTCTATATAGAGTCCACTTAACATTGCGTAATATTATATCAGTAATATAAAAGTCCATTACCTGACTTTTCCAGCCACGGAAAAAGAGGCGTGAGTGCGGGTTGGTGACTTCGTAGTCACCACTCATTTTCTTAGTTAAATTAAATAACTTTTAGAAGTACTTATTATATGTTCATGACTCACAGGGGTTATACATCATTTATCTTAATAATTTAGCTTTGCTGTTATTTGAAAAATCCCCACAAAGTAACTTGGATTGTTATAAAAACTTCAGATTGCTTCTCATTCTATGTTAGATAAACTGATCAGCCCTTTTAAGGAACATCACAATTAAAATTTAAATACATTGTTTGGCTTTCATATCATGTTTCAAGCTTCCATTTATATTTGTAAGTAAAATAGTGAAGTACATTGTTTGTGATGTATTGGAATCCATCAACAAAATTTGTTGTTGAATTAGGCTCATATGAACCATCTGGGTATCTTCATTTTTTTATAGGTTTTGCCACCCAGTTGTGGAATTTCTATGAAATACAGTCGGTGTTTTCTGTCTTCTCTCCTGCAATAAATATCATCGAGGAAATAAATGAAACCATGGTTTTTTCTTTGTATATAATGTTATTAAAGAAAATGTCTCCAGATCAGAAATGCTGTATTTTGAATTCCTTGTAATGTGTGACTTGAGAAAATTGGACTACTACCTACTGTAAGTGACAGATCAGGCAGGGAGTGATGGCTAAGTAGGCTTCTGACCACTGGCAGCAACAGCCTGGTTAACCAGGAAGTCACTGCTAAAGTCTGACCTGGCTGTCTTCAAAAAGGTGCTGGACAGGCACCTAAAGCCAGTAAGCCAGCCGGGCTGTGGTTCGTACGTTGGTTTACGTCCGGCCAGCAGAAACAGCCTGGTTGATCAAACCCTTCTCCACCACGAGGCCTGGTCACAAACTGGGCCGCGGTGGCGTTGACCCCCGAAACCCTCTCCAGGTATAATCCAGGTAATGTCGAGCTTCAAGAGTAGACCTCTCGAAATCAGTAATAAATGTGGTAACTAGTAGTTCATCCTACATGAACCTCATCGTTCTTAAGTTCATTGAATATAAAGTCATTGAATCATATAAAACACAAGAAATAGGTCAATGTATAAAGGACAACTATATAAGAGGACATGTTTCAGATTATCCAAAAATACAAAACCCTCAGAGAGAGATTCAAACTCGACAATGACAAATTTCAGTTTATTAATAAAATATTTGAAATCTTGGGATTATGTCTATCCTTTCATCACTTGTATAGGAATATTAAATAATGGAAATGCAACCAATGAACATGTAATTCAGCAATATGCAAAGAAAATATCTTTTATCTATTGGAGTCCAATGAAAACCTTCTGTGAGCTCTTTAATTCGTAATAGACTAGAACTCAAAAATTAAGGTGGTAGTGCACAATAAACTGGCCCAATAACAAGAGTAAGCAACATCAGAGGAGCTAGGAGCCACTAAAGGAGCTAGGAGCCACTAAAGGAGCTAGGAGCCACTAAAGGAGCTAGGAGCCACTAAAGGAGCTAAGAGCCATAAACTATCAAATAAGCTAGGAGTGAGAAGCCATAAAAAGAGAAACAATCATCAGAAAAGCTAAAGCAAGGAGTTATCAGAGGAAGTAAGATTTATTAGGAGAGCAAGGAACCGTGAGAAGAGCAAGGAATTATTAAGAAGAGTTGATACTCATGACAGGAACTATCAAAGAAGCTAGAAGAAAGGAACCATAAGAATAACTTGATGGGCTAGAGCCCATCAGAGCTAGGCAGCAGCTCTTTCCCCGCGCCAAGGTGTCCAGTCAGGTCGTGGGATGTTGGCACTGTTGCATGGCACTGGTTGGTTACTGCAAGCAAGAAAAAACTCGAGTTATTTCAAGAAAAAAAAAAGTTTACTAAGACGCATAAATAATATTCCTAAATTTTAATAGTGAATGCATTCTATACTATCAAATATATATATATTTAAATGTAACTATTAAAATATGTATTTTCTACCTCTGTTCAGAATGTGTAAGTCTGGACACTAATAGCATGGAGGTGACCCAATGAATAACGAGAGCTAAACTTAACTTACAATCTGCTGTTGGTCTGCCTGAAAGCGAGTGGCTGGACGGCGTCAACGTTGGAGTTGTCACACATGATCCTGGCCCAAGAGGAAAGACGGATCTGTTGCAACTGAGCTGTAAAACAAGAGTAATGTGGTCACTACTAGTTAACAACAAGTGAAGCATTAATAAAACAAGAGCAGAATAAAACTATAGTATATGGTCAACAGGTTTATATGCACACACACACATTATATATATATAATATATATATATATATATATATATATATATATATATATATATATATATATATATATATATATATATATATAAAATATATATATATATATATATTAATAAGGAAGAATATGAGCACGAAGTTTATATTTACTGTATAATAATGAGTTCAAATAATTTCATAAGTTCGTTTTGCTGCAATAGTAATTAGGTTTCCTTTTTGTATGCATTAAACTCTGTTATATCTTACCTTCGCTGTATAGCCCTTGTGGCTTAGCGCTTCTTTTTTGATTATAATAATAATATATCTTACCTTCGTTAAAGGAGCCTGGTTGTCCTGCGAGGTCGTAGAAGTATCGATCTGCCTTCTTGAGTCTGGCGAACTGGTCTCCCACGACACAGAGGAAGGTCCAGCCCAGGAGACTGCCAGGGACAGACCTCTCAGTGATTCCACCCACGAAGAAGTCAATATCATCAACACTCTTGTAAACTCTGGCCAGTTTTTGAACGTTCTGTTTTGTGGTTGGTATATGAATTAGGATGATATATAACATATGCGATGATACCCATGTTAAGCATATGTCAAAAATATCTCTCGCCTATTACAACATATGCACAAAATTTTATTTAAAGGCTAATATGAAGAAATATGCTCAGGAGCACAAAAGGCTTGGAAAATGTACAGAAGAAATACAAAGTAATATGAACATTAAGTAGCACTTACCTCAGGATTGATCTGATCAGTGAGGTCGTTGAAGGTACGGGCGCGTGGCAGACCACAGATCTCTCTGAAGTTGTTGTAGGTGCCGATGCCGTGGTCGCGGCCACGTTGAATATTCAGACTCATCAAGTCCATTCCAGAGTTAAACCTGGGAGTCTGTTATAAAACAATTACTATATTTTTCAGGAGCGGTAGTAGTAACGTAGGGTTTGTGTATATATCGTTATTATAGACCAGTCAGAAATATTGACATTAGACAACAAAGGAAGTGAAGGCATAGAAGAGGAAAATTTAACACACTGATGTTTATATAAATATTTAGGTATATGGAATAACAGTAAGTTTCATAAAAAGTGCTTACACCTCACGTGCACATTAGCTTTAAATAAGCACAAATCCTGATCATTAAATAATAATCCCTGAGCTATAATAGCTTTGTGGGCTCGGAGTATATGGATTTCTATGCATTTGTACATTGTTAAAGGGGTATGTGGTGCAGCAGAGCCCCCTCACCATCCTACACTTTAACAACGGTGGCTCCTGTACGACTGTCATACACACTATGCTTCACTCAACGTGTAGCTTAACTGATTACTAATATATTCTATTGTTTAACGGAAAATATTCTATTCGAAAATAGAATTACTCTATTCTAAAATAGACTAAAATGGTCATTGAATGTATGGCAGAGAGAAATATCATTGTAGGCCTGGGTAACATTTTCACCTGTTTATTCTAGTTACAATATTTTGAGTACTTTAAAAAAAAAACCATACCACGGGCGGGATTGAACCCGCGGTTCAAAACTCCAGACCGTCGCGTTAGCCACGGTCTGGAGTTTTGACCGCGGGTTCAATCCCGCCCGTGGTATGGTTTGTTTGCAATCGTGCCATTACGATTTCGTGAGTCATTTTGAGTACTTTTTTTATTAGTACCATTGCAGATTTCTAAAGGAAATGTATTTTTATCACCTGGAACAAATGGTTCGACAAATCCTGCGTGATGAACGAGTCAAACTTTTGTATAGCAAGTTGGGTGAAGCTTCGAACAATGTCGTCCAGTCGATTTTCTAATTCTATAAGATGAGGAGAGTTGAAGTGGTCGCGGAGCCTGATGGTGTCAACACCGCCATTTGTCTTAAACAATCTGTAACGATCGAAGTGTAAAAAATATTTCAATGAAACAATTTATATTTTCAACTACATATGTTTTAATTTGCAATACCTTACAAGAAGCATTCGAAAAAAAATCTTAGAGACAGTAAGGAAGAGATGTGAATAATTTTGTAACGTACATTCACTACTATGTAACAACCTTAAAAATATCTACGTTAAGTTTCTTATAGTAAATAGGATTAACTAATATTAAAACATTATCAAATAATCTACCAAAGCAATATAGTATGTTATGCAATAACATCACAGCAAACAGGTGATATCAGGATATGCAAAACAACCACTGTGAAAGAACAGTGAAATTCCAAGCGCTTTCGCGACTTCTCACATTGATAATGTGAGAAGTCACGAATGCACTTGGAATTTCGCTATTCTTTCACAGTGGTTGTTTTGCACAGTATGTTGTATACAGTATATGACTCACCGAAGAGTTCCCTGCACCAGGGTGTGTCCAAACCTGAAGGCTGCTGCGGAGAATTCATTGTTCATGTTGGGGTTGATGCCGGGGTTGTAGTCGTTGCTGAAGCCTGATGAAAGTGTATTCAGACCAAAGGCTTTCATAAAGTCTTTTCCTGAAAGTGATGTGAATATTTATTTGCATATTTCTCTCTGCTTCTTTACAGTACACACAAAACACATGACTGTGCCACACAAGGGTTTTACAGGATTAGATTAAGAGGTCTTACCTGTATTTACTGGCTAAGATATGTTACCTACCTCAACTCATTTGAAAGCATTTTTATTTTTATGAGATATACAAATAAAGAATAGAATGAATTTGGAGCCATGTGTGGGCCAGCTATTTAATTTGGTCAACTAACTGACTATATCATTGATGTCACTATGCTGAACGAACATGTCCACTCTCAAGTTCGAAGATCTGCTCACAGGTACTGCCACATACTAGGAACCTGAAATGGCGGCAGCCATGAAGAGCTTAATTTAATCACACTGTTGGCCGAAGGGATAGGGAAGACATGATCACAAAACTCAACATACTCTGAGACATCGACAATCTGGACGAACATAGAGGGTTTGAAATAAATGAAACCAGGACATGGAGACACAGGAAAACTATAATCCACAATGAACAAAAGATATTATGAGAGTCCTTTAGTGTGAATGTGCTGTACACACAGACCATTAACACAATATATAATTTTACATGTTCAAACTACAAAGACCCTAAGGCACAGTTGTATATCGCGCCACACACCTATGATGATGGGGAGCCACTCGTTGAAAATGATGTGTTGTTCCTGGGCAATAATGATCCTGCGGGTCTCCTGGAAGACAGCCTCGTCTGACCACTGGGGGTTCAGTTTCTGAAGTTCTCCTGCTACACGGTTGTGTTGTCTCACCCACAGGGTGTGAAGACCGGTCAAGCTAGGCTGCTCGTTCACTCGTGAGTCACCTGTAAGGATCCCCTCATATGTTATACTTCATAATAGTGTAATGGTATTTTGAATTTTACAGTAAATCATTAATGTTTAAATTGTTACCAAGATATCTAGGGGGTAAAGATATAAACATAATGAAGTGTATGTATTTGTGAGTGATATGTTGATTCATAGGTACAACCTTGCACAGTGTATATTAAAATTTTAAGTAAAACTGTACATTAATGCAAATCGTGAGTCAGTGGAAAGATTATTATCAAAACTCGGCTGATATTGAATAAGATATTTGTTCTTAGCACTGACCTGGGCATTTTTTTAATTATCAGTGTAAAAATCACCTGCATTTTTTCCTTTTTTTTCAGAATAAATGTGAACCTCGAGCGTTTTGGAACTGTGTTGTCGTTCTTATATTATTATTATTACAATCAGAATTAAGCGCTAAACCCACAAGGGTTATACACTGTCATTCATATACTATGCCTTAACTGTTGAAACATTTTATGAATCTGACATATAGGAACCTTCTTATAGATTAATATTGTTGAGGTGGTTCAACATTTAGAGACGCAGGTGGAAAAATAAGATGACTAGGAGGGCGTATTTATTTGGGGTGGAGGGAGGGAGGGAGGGGTAGGGGCCGTCCTAGGAAAGATAGGAGGAACGGGATAAAGGAGGATTTTGAGTGCTAGAGGCGTGAACATTTAACAGGTTTGTGTGAGCGTGTTAGATAGGAGTGACTGAAGACAAGTAGTTTTTATGATCTGACGTGCTGTTGGAGTGTAAATAAGGTAACATTTTTAAAGGGATTCAGGGAAAACATGTTAACCAGATTTGAGTTTTGGAGATGGGTAGTACAGTGCCTGCACTCTGAAGGAGGGGTGGAGGTGGGTAGTACAGTGCATGCACTCTGAAGGAGGGGTGGAGGTGGGTAGTACAGTGCCTGCACTCTGAAGGAGGGGTGGAGGTGGGTAGTACAGTGCATGCACTCTGAAGGAGGGGTGGAGGTGGGTAGTACAGTGCCTGCACTCTGAAGGAGGGGTGGAGGTGGGTAGTACAGTGCCTGCACTCTGAAGGAGGGGTGGAGGTGGGTAGTACAGTGCCTGCACTCTGAAGGAGGGGTGGAGGTGGGTAGTACAGTGCCTGCACTCTGAAGGAGGGGTGGAGGTGGGTAGTACAGTGCATGCACTCTGAAGGAGGGGTGGAGGTGGGTAGTACAGTGCATGCACTCTGAAGGAGGGGTGGAGGTGGGTAGTACAGTGCATGCACTCTGAAGGAGGGGTGGAGGTGGGTAGTACAGTGCCTGCACTCTGAAGGAGGGGTGGAGGTGGGTAGTACAGTGCATGCACTCTGAAGGAGGGGTGGAGGTGGGTAGTACAGTGCATGCACTCTGAAATAGGGGTGGAGGTGGGCAGTACAGTGCCGGCACTCTGAAGGAGGGGTGGAGGTGGGTAGTACAGCGCCTGCACTCTGAAGGAGGGGTGGAGATGGGTAGTACAGTGCCTGCAATCTGAAGGAGGAATGGAGGTGGGTAGTACAGTGCATGCACTCTGAAGGAGGGGTGGAGGTGGGTAGTACAGTGCCTGCACTCTGAAGGAGGGGTGTAGGTGGGTAGTACAGTGCCTGCACTCTGAAAGAGGGGTGGAGGTGGTAGTACAGTGCCTGCACTCTGAAGGAGGGGTGGAGATGGGTAGTACAGTGCCTGCACTCTGAAGAAGGGGTGGAGGTGGGTAGTACAGTGCATGCACTCTGAAGGAGGGGTGGAGGTGGGTAGTACAGTGCCTGCACTCTGAAGGAGGGGTGGAGGTGGGTAGTACAGTGCATGCACTTTAAAAGAGGGGTGGAGATGGGTATTACAGTGCCTGCACTCTGAAGGAGGGGTGGAGGTGGGTAGTACAGTGCATGCACTCTGAAGAAGGGGTGGAGGTGGGTAGTACAGTGCCTGCACTCTTAAGGAGGGGTGGAGGTGGGTAGTACAGTGCCTGCACTCTGAAGAAGGGGTGGAGGTGAGTAGTACAGTGCATGCACTCTGAAGGAGGGGTGGAGGTGGGTAGTACAGTGCCTGCACTCTGAAGGAGGGGTGGAGGTGGGTAGTACAGTGCATGCACTCTGAAGGAGGGGTGGAGGTGGGTAGTACAGTGCCTGCACTCTGAAAGAGGGGTGGAGGTGGGTAGTGCCGTGCCTGCACTCTGAAGAAGGGGTGGAGATGGGTAGTACAGTGCATGCACTCTGAAGGAGGGGTGGAGGTGGGTAGTACAGTGCCTGCACTCTTAAGGAGGGGTGGAGGTGGGTAGTACAGTGCAAGCACTCTGAAAGAGGGGTGGAGATGGGTAGTACAGTGCCTGCACTCTGAAGGAGGGGTGGAGGTGGGTAGTACAGTGCCTGCACTCTGAAGGAGGGGTGGAGGTGGGTAGTACAGTGCATGCACTCTGAAGGAGGGGTGGAGGTGAGTAGTACAGTGCCTGCACTCTGAAGGAGGGGTGGAGGTGGTAGTACAGTGCATGCACTCTGAAGGAGGGGTGGAGGTGAGTAGTACAGTGCCTGCACTCTGAAGGAGGGGTGGAGGTGAGTAGTACAGTGCCTGCACTCTGAAGGAGGGGTGGAGGTGGGTAGTACAGTGCCTGCACTTTGAAGGAGGGGTGGAGGTGGGAAGTACAGTGCCTGCACTCTGAAGGAGGGGTGGAGGTGGGAAGTACAGTGCCTGCACTCTGAAGGAGGGGTGGAGGTGGGTAGTACAGTGCCTGCACTCTGAAGGAGGGGTGGAGGTGGGTAGTACAGTGCCTGCACTCTGAAGGAGGGGTGGAGGTGGGTAGTACAGTGCCTGCACTCTGAAGGAGGGGTGGAGGTGGGTAGTACAGTGCATGCACTCTGAAGGAGGGGTGGAGGTGGGTATACAGTGCATGCACTCTGAAGGAGGGGTGGAGATGTTGGGTAGTACGTGCATCACTCTGAAGGAGGGGTGATGTGGTAAATACAGTGCTGCACTCTGAAAGAAGGGTGAGGTGGTCTGTACAGTGCTGCACTACTGAAGTGAGGGTGGAGTGTTAGTACAGGAGATGAAATAGGTGGAGTGGGCATACCCCGTGCCGCATTGAAGAGGGTGAGTGGGTTAGTACAGGCACTGCAATCTGAAGAGGGGTGGAGATGGGTATTACTTGCCTGCAATTGAAGAGAATGGTAGTGGGTGTTACGTGCTGACACTCTGAAGAGGGTGGAGGTGGTGTACAATGCTGCCTCTGAAGAGGGGTGTAGTGGTGTACCCGTCTGCATTAAAAGGTGGAGGGGGTGTACAGTGCTGCACTTGAAGGAGGGGTGTAAAGGGTTAGTACAGTGCCTGCACTCTAGAAGAAGGGTGGAGGTGGGTAGTGTACAGTCATGCACTTGAAAGGGGTGGAGGTGGGTATACAGTTGCTCTGATCTGAAGGAGGTGGAGGTGGGTAGTACAGTGCAAAGCACTTAAAAGTGGTGGGATGGGTATTACAGTGCCTGACTCTAAGGAGGTGAGCCTGGGTATACAGTGCATGCACTCTGAAGAAGGGGTGGGGGTAGTACAGCCCTGCACTCTGACAGGCGTGGAGGTGGGTAGTACAGTGCCTGCATCTGAAGAGGGGTGGAGGTGAGTATACAGTGCATGCACTCTGAAGGCGGGTGGAGGTGGGTAGTACAGTGCTGCACTTCTGAGGAGGGGTGGAGGTGGGTAGTACAGTGCATGCACTCTGAAGAGGGGTGGAGGTGGGTAGTACAGTGGCATGCACTCTGAAAGAGGGGTGGAGGTGGGTAGTGCCGTGCCTGCACTCTGAAGAGGGGTGGAGATGGGTAGTACAGTGCAATGCACTCTGAAGGAGGGGTGGAGGTGGGTAGTACAGTGCCTGCACTCTTAAGGAGGGGTGGAGGTGGGTAGTACAGTGCAAGCACTCTGAAAGAGGGGTGGAGATGGGTAGTACAGTGCCTGCACTCTGAAGGAGGGGTGGAGGTGGGTAGTACAGTGCCTGCACTCTGAAGGAGGGGTGGAGGTGGGTAGTACAGTGCCTGCACTCTGAAGGAGGGGTGGAGGTGAGTAGTACAGTGCATGCACTCTGAAGAGGGGTGAGGTGAGTAGTAAGTCCGCTGAAGGAGGGGTGGGGTGGGAGTACAGGATGACTGAGGAGGGGTGGGGTGAGTAGTACAGTGCCTGCACTCTGAAGGAGGGGTGGAGGTGGGTAGTACAGTGCATGCACTCTGAAGGAGGGGTGGAGGTGAGTAGTACAGTGCCTGCACTCTGAAGGAGGGGTGGAGGTGGGTAGTACAGTGCTGCACTCTGAAGGAGGGGTGGAGGTGGTGAAGTACAGTGCCTGCACTTGAAGGAGGGGTGGAGGTGGGTAGTACAGTGCCTGCACTCTGAAGGAGGGGTGGAGGTGGGTAGACAGTGCCTGCACTCTGAAGGAGGGGTGGAGGTGAGTAGTACAGTGCCTGCACTCTGAAGGAGGGGTGGAGGTGGGTAGTACAGTGCCTGCACTCTGAAGGAGGGGTGGAGGTGGGTAGTACAGTGCATGCACTCTGAAGGAGGGGTGGAGGTGGGTAGCACAGTGCCTGCACTCTGAAGGAGGGGTGGAGGTGGGTAATACAGTGCATGCACTCTGAAGGAGGGGTGGAAATGTTGCGGTCTTGAGGATCATCTCATCTGTATGTCGATATTCTGGCAAGACAGTGACTGAGTGACAATAAAAGTATTTTGTTCTCTCTCGAGTCTCCCTACTTCGGTGGGAGACTAATGAAGTGTTATAAAAAATTGTGAGAAAACCAACTATCCCCTTATGATTATATTTTATCTTGTTTATAGAAATGAAAAGGCACAATCTATAAACAATCTGGCACAATCTGGTCTTTCTTCAAGACCATTATTAAAAATTGGTATGTTTTGTACACCAAGCTTGAGTAAAATTTAATTATTTCCATAATTACATGTTTACTTGCTTACTTACTATACCTACTTGCTTAAAAGCTGTTTATTCTTACTTAGAGAAAAGCTGGATTGGTCCCAGTGTGTGCAAGTCCCATTTTGGGAAAATTGAAATAATGCTTTTCGTCTGATAATATCTGAGTGCCTCATCAAAGGAGCTTCAACGTTTCAGTGCTGATAGCTTGATAACATATGTTTACCTGGAGTTTACCTGGAGAGAGTTCCGGGGGTCAACGCCCCCGCGGCCCGGTCCGTGACCAGGCCTCCTGGTGGATCAGAGCCTGATCAACCAGGCTGTTGCTGCTGGCTGCACGCAAACCAACATACGAGCCACAGCCCGGCTGGTCAGGAACCGACTTTAGGTGCTTGTCCAGTGCCAGCTTGAAGACTGCCAGTGGTCTGTTGGTAATCCCCCTTATGTATGCTGGGAGGCAGTTGAACAGTCTTGGGCCCCTGACACTTATTGTATGGTCTCTTAACGTGCTAGTGACACCCCTTGGGGGGATGTTGCATCGTCTGCCAAGTCTTTTGCTTTCGTAGTGAGTGATTTTCGTGTGCAAGTTCGGTACTAGTCCCTCTAGGATTTTCCAGGTGTATATAATCATGTATCTCTCCCGCCTACGTTCCAGGGAATACAGGTTTAGGAACCTCAAGCGCTCCCAGTAATTGAGGTGTTTTATCTCCGTTATGCGCGCCGTGAAGGTTCTCTGTACATTTTCTAGGTCAGCAATTTCACCTGCCTTGAAAGGTGCTGTTAGTGTGCAGCAATATTCCAGCCTAGATAGAACAAGTGACCTGAAGAGTGTCATCATGGGCTTGGCCTCCCTAGTTTTGAAGGTTCTCATTATCCATCCTGTCATTTTTCTAGCAGATGCGATTGATACAATGTTATGGTCCTTGAAGGTGAGATCCTCCGACATGATCACTCCCAGGTCTTTGACGTTGGTGTTTGGTTCTATTTTGTGGCCAGAATTTGTTTTGTACTCTGATGAAGATTTAATTTCCTCGTGTTTACCATATCTGAGTAATTGAAATTTCTCATCGTTGAACTTCATATTGTTTTCTGCAGCCCACTGAAAGATTCGGTTGATGTCCGCCTGGAGCCTTGAAGTGTCTGCAATGGAAGACACTGTCATGCAGATTCGGGTGTCATCTGCAAAGGAAGACACGGTGCTGTGGCTGACATCCTTGTCTATGTCGGATATGAGGATGAGGAACAAGATGGGAGCGAGTACTGTGCCTTGTGGAACAGAGCTTTTCACCGTAGCTGCCTCGGACTTTACTCTGTTGACGACTACTCTCTGTGTTCTGTTAGTGAGGAAATTATAGATCCATCGACCGACTTTTCCTGTTATTCCTTTAGCACGCATTTTGTGCGCTATTACGCCATGGTCACATTTGTCGAAGGCTTTTGCAATGTGAATGATTGCAAAATTTACTTAATTGTATAATTTAGGATAGAGGATTCTGAGATACAAAGACAATGCTTTTTCAGTTCAGCTTTATCGTTTCTTAGTGAAAGGGTTAGAGCGTGTATGTCCTAGTTTACCATTCTTATTGAAGAAATTTAAAAATTAATTTTCATATGATGATTTGTGAATGCCATTTCTGATTCGCTCTAGATCTTCAACAATAGTTAACTGCATTATAGACTTACGCCTCAATCTGCACTGTTTCATTACCGTGCACTGAGGTACAGGGGACTGAGGGTATGCAATACGAGGATACCTTGCTTAAATGGCACAGCTACCGGAATACATCTAATTATTGTATATCACTGGTATTCAGTACCGGCAAAATGAAGACTCAGACACTTGTGAAACAGAACATCTTTCTTGTAGACATAGAGGTACCCAGATATTACACAAGTGTCTTATTCCACATCTTGTTATTATAGGAATATATCACAATAATGATCTAGCAATCATCCAAAGTATTCGAGATGCTATGAGGATATTTAATTAAAATAAGAACCTATAATCTGACTGTACGTTTCAGTAAGTGACGAACCTGCTGTAAAACAGAGAGCACCACGTTCCCGAGCCTCGCAGTCTCCTCCCTGGTTGCTGTTGATGGGTAGGAGGTTGTTACCAGAGATCTTCATGAGTCCGTTCCTTAATGCCCTTAGGTTCCGCATCTGGTCAGCAGTGGAGCCGTATATCACAGAGCCGTCTATCCAGTGTGTAAGTTGATTCAGCTGTGTCACAGACAAACCTTGAATTAGTGTCAACATTTATTACAAATTTTCATAAAAATGTGAATTTCGCTCTATGATCCTTTTGGGTTACCCTATGTTAAATCTGTAACATTTACATTCAATGTATGCCTAAAACTGGTATTTATTTATTGTAGTTACTGAACAGATGTAATCTGTAGACGCATATGCAGAGAACCTTCTGTAAATAAACCTTATTTTACTTATTTAAAACTGGAAAGCTGAAGTAGGAGGATAATGTTAATCATTAATTGTAAGTTTTCACTCTACGGAGTCTTTGAAGACTCTTCATTCGTCTCTCGACCTCTGGGGAGAGAGGATGCTCGCCTGGTCTGCTACACCTGCCCTCTGGTGGTGGTTTTTGGCAGTGCAACGACAAGATGGCGGAGGGAAGGGGACGCCGTGTCAACACTGCCTGCATAGAGCTGGTCAGAGGCACGCTTAGTTCTGCAATAATGCACGTCTTATTGCCAACCATCATCAGAGACGTCTACGGCGTTCCAACAGAGGAATTATACGGTGGAAGAATTTCAGAAGAGAATAACCGTCAACTTGGCGGTGGACGTCATCTTGCACTATGTATCCAAATATTACATGTGGGTTAAGGTGCGTAATGTGCCATTTGAGGCAACTGTGTATGGGCTGAAGGAGGCATTTAGCAGCTATGGTCGGGTCCATTCGACAACGATGGGAGTCCGGAAGGATGGGCCATACGAGGGGCTCCCTGAGGGATCCTACACCCTCAAAATCTCGTTGGCCCTGCCGATCCCGTCATACGTGAGGTTGGAGGGATACAGGATACAGGTTTTTGTGCATTACACTGGTCAGCGGCGGACTTGTCGTCTGTGTTGCTCATATGATCATATGGCGGCACAATGTCCGAGGCGGCAACCGGCCAGAGGTCCTGGAACGTCGGCAATGGAGCAACGATTGTGTGAATTGGGGCCCGAGGTGGGTGGCGGAGCGGACTTGCAGAGTGGTCGTTGGAGTGAGGAGGCACACCGTGAGGAACAGTCGGCTGACTGGTGTGTCACGCTCCTGGAGCAATCAGAGGCTGTGGACGAATTGTCAGGAGAGAAAGTGTGTCAGGACAGTGTACCTCAGGAGCGCTTCATGGAGGAGGTACTCCAGAATTTTTTGGGAACAACTGTGACTGGTGTCTTCAGTGAAGGTGAGGCAGTCACGACGGTTCCATCGCCTGAGGGAGGGAACCCCAGTGCAGGTACCTTGCAGCAGGTTGTGCAAGTGGAGGTACATCAGAAGCAAGCCCAGTAAGTGGATATGAGTGTGAGTGGTGGCTTCAGAAAGAGAACGGCTGGATGGAACGGTGGAGGTAGAGGAGGTTCTTTTCCCCGGCCAGCACCCGGGGAAAAAGGCGTGGGCAGTGGAGGAGTTGAAGGAGGTACGGGCTGGTACAGTGATGCAGGAGCAACACAGTGGACGGGTGCGGGAGAGTGAGGGTGAACAGGTAAAGACCTGTGAGGTGCCTGGGCGCCGACCGGGGAAAGGCGTCATGAATAAATCACAGCGGCATAGAGGAAAGCCGCTGTTTATATAGCTTTCCGGAGTGTCACTCTTAACGTTAATGGTCTCCGCTCAGAGATCAAGCAAGTGTGGTTGGTCTGGTTTTTGAGAAGGTTCCAGGTTGATGTGTGTTTTTTACAGGAACACAATTTTCGGTTTGGATGTGATTTGAGGTTGGATGGTTACAAGGTGTATGTTAGTTCTGCCAGGCAGATAAAATGGGGGGATAGTGATATCGATCAAGGACACCAGCCCCTTGCACGTCACGGCCTGGGAGGAGGAGGGGGGGAGGGTTGTGAGAGTAGATGGGGTATGGAGTGAGAGACACATTTGTCTTATAAGTGCATATATGCCGGCATCGGGTAACATACAGGTTAAAGCAGATTTTGTGAGGGATGACTTACTGTATTATTTACGGGCATAGCCGGCGGTCATGATCATCGGTGGAGACTGGAACTGTGTGATTCGTGAAAGGGATGTGGAACTGAGGGGTGCAGGGTGTGTACTGAAAGTTCTGTGGGACACGTTGCAAGATGTTGGTGTTGTGGACATAGTGGGGGGCTTAGCGACTGAGCACACTTTTGTCAGGAGAGAATATGTGGCGTGACTAGATAGAATTTACATAATGCGGGGTATAGAGGGGAGGGACGTGCAAACGTTCGATGTAGGTTTCTCAGATCATAGAGCAGTAATTGCTGACTTGCAGTGGGAGGGAGTGGTCAGAATTCATGCTGGTTATTGGAAGTTGAATGTTGGATTGCTTAGGGATGAGGAAGGAGGTGCAGGGTTCGAAGAATGGTGGGGTAGGTTCACAGAGGGCAGGGATAGGGTAATGCAGTTCATTGACTGGTGGGAGTTGAAAGCAAAGCCTGGCATTGCAACCTATTTCCGAGGCAGGGAAAGGGAGGAAGCGAGATGGTGTTATGGCTTACAAAATTATTTGGAATCTTAGCTGAAGGATTGTTACGACAGGGGGTGTGGGGGGTTGGGGAGGCAGAATCCATAAGGGATAGACTTGCGGACATCGCAACAAACGTTTCAATGAGATATGTTATCTTCGGGATCTGAGGGACGTGTTATGGGTGACAAACCGTTTGATTTTGTGTAGCAGATTCCGAGAACGTCATGCTTGTGACTCCCTGTTCGATATGGCAAGCTCGGGGTGGGGGATACTAGGATGTCGGTTTTTGTCACTACAGAAGCATGAGCTATTCCCTTGATGATGGTTTAGGGAAAAATGGAGGGGGCAGGGGGAGTTTTGTTTGCAGGAATTGGCGGGGGAGGGGCGAGATGTGCTGGGGACGAAGTTAGGAAGGATGGAGGAGGATATATGTGAGGAGGAGGTAGCAGTAGCGATTTTTGGGATGCGGACTGGCAAGATGCCCAGAATTGATGGGTTGCCAGTTGAATTTTACAGGATGCATTGGAATTGCATCAGGCATGTTTTTGTTGGGGTTCTAAATAATATGTTGGCAGGTGGGAGAATAGGTGTTGTAGTGTTGGTGCCTAAGAAGGGAGGTGAGCATGTAGTGAGTGCTTACAGAGCAATATCTTTAATGTGTGCTGATTACAAGGTTTTTGCGAAGGTATTGGGTAATTGTTTGAAGGGCGCCATGGGGTCGGTATTACATAAGGGACAGTAGGAATTCCTGGGGGGAAGTATGAGGGAGGGACTGGCCAATCGGATTTCCTAGAGGGGAGGGGGAGGAGGTGTTCTTTGGTTTTTGGATGGGAAAAATGAGTATGATTGTGTGGATAGGGGATTTATGCGTGAATGTTTGTATGGCTTGGGTTTTGGTGCGAAAGTAGTGGGAGGGTAGAGGCATTGAAAGCCTGGGGGGTGATGAGGGTTCAGGGGGAATGGCGATGGGGGCATTATGGGGCATGGACAAGGTTTGAGGCAGGGGTGCCCGCTTTCCCAAAATCTGTTTGTATGTGTAAAAGGGGATCGTTTTATGGGGCTGGGGTTGGGGTGAGGGGGGGTGGGGGGGGATAAGTCGGGGGGGGGGGGGGGGGGTGTAGTGGGGTACGTTGATGATACGACGGATTTGATTAGTGCATGGGAGGATTTTGTCTATGTGAGTGAGGTCATTGAAAAGTTTGGGGCTGCATCAGGCATGAGGGTTAACAGGCACAAGTCAGATGTTGCTGGAGGTGGGGAGCTGGGTAGGGGGGAGAATGGGTGTGGGGTTTCGATGAACATGTGTGGATAGGATCAGGATTTGCAGGATTATGTATTTGGTGGACAAACATGCAAGCAGGGAGGTTAATTCGGTGGCGGTACGGGACAAGGTGCTGGGCAGACTACGAGGATTACGAGCCGGGGATTCCTCTATGCACCAACGGGTGTTGGTCGTGAATTCGCTTGTGTATAGCAAGGTCTGGGGAATGGTAGCTGTATATCCTTTGAGGACCTGTGACGTAACGGAGATACAGAGACGGGCGTTGAGGTATATTTGGGGATATGGACGGACATGGTCGGGACGTGAGGTGGTGATGTCTGGAGTATGCATGGGGGGTTTAGGTTTGCTAGCTTTGGGACCTAGGGTGAGAGCAATATATGTCCGGGCGTGTTATTTACCACTAGGGGGGGCTAGAGGACGTAGCGTGTGAGAGGTCGGGAGGGAAGTCTGGTGTTGGTGGCGTGGAAAGAAGCTAGAGGCGTGTGAGGACTTGCTGCGATATATGTTATGGGTGAGGGACGTGGTGTGAGCATAGGAAGGCTGGTGAGTGTGGGGTTCCGGTGGGCAGCATTGTCAGGGGTGGAGATTTATCCCACTTATAACTGGAAGGTGATTTGGGAGGAATTCCTGTGGCTTTGTATACCAGCTAAGGTGCGTGAGGTGGTGTACAGATTTATCATGGGGATCCTGGCCTCTAAGGTGATATTATGGAAAATGGGTTTTGTTCAGGATGCAACTTGCGTGCATTGTGGTGATGAGGAAACGACTTTTCACGTGGTGTATTTTTGTCCTACTCTAGAAGAGGTAAGGTTGTTGATGCGGGGTATATTCGGGATGTTGGGAGGAGAAAGGGTGATTATTTTAAGGGCGTTACTCCTCGACGTGGATGGGATGACACAAGATGTGGCATGAGCGATAAAGTATGTCGTCGTGGACTATTTGTACATGTCTTGGCAAATGCGTGAGGTGCAGGGCACCGGTAGGGTCAGGGCGTTGGCTGCACGTTTTTACAGGACAATGTGCAGAAATAGAAGCGTCTATGGTAGTAGATGGGTTGAGTTTTTTCCTGAGGGTTATCGCGGTATGACGGTGGCGAAACTTTGCGGATTGGTTGGAACAGGACAGCAATGGGCTGGTGGTCAGCGATGATCTGGCGTGCAAGTGGACTGAGTAGTAGTATGACATGGGTTGAAGCAGGGGGGTGAGGGGAGGGATGGGTCTTGGATGTTGTTGGTTTAGATGTGAAATGGGTCGGATGCGGGGTATGCAACATCGATCAAATTAGTCATTACTGTGTCCTTGAGTGTGTTTTGGCTGTCAAAGGTTCTTAGATCTCGGATCCTCCATAGTACAGCCTGTCAGTGTCGGGGGGGGGGGGTCGGAGTGGGTTGGATTGATTTACCATGTCTTTCAGGTATTTGTTCTTGTATGGCATGGGCACGTGCTTAGAAAGTAGATTGGGTGAGATCCTAGCCGAGATGGGGATGTTGTGTATATGGTGATGGCGAAGCCCTGCAGAGTGCAGCTTGTATTCTTGAAGGCTGTGACACACGGGAGGGGAGAGGGAGGTGGCTTTGTGGACTTAAGGGGGAGTTCTGGAGGCCAGCCGTTTGTCGCAGGCTAACGCGTGTAGGGTAGGTATGTTACAATACGTTCACTGCCATCGGCCAAGTTGGATAGTGTGTACTGGTTTGGTGGACCGAGTTTGGAACAAGGTACCACAAAGGCGGTGGTACAGTAATGTATACTGCCATTTTTCCTCACCTTTATGGTGTGTTCTTTGCTAGTTGCATTAGTTGCAACGTCTGTTGATTAGCTTACCTAAGTTATTATAAAAACCATATTCTGTTGTTTTTTGTATGATTAGTTATCCACTATGGTGTTGTGGATTTTCTCTAGGACTGCACACTCTATATGCATTATGTCCTACTTACTGTACTTTGTTAATGTTTGTTGTCCTGTACACCCGGGGGTATCTGGTTTTAGTAGAGGACCCTGTAACCATATGTTGATTTACATTTTGAATTTTTAAGATGAGAGGTTACCTGGTGGTTGTCACTGTTATATGTCATGTGTGATAAAGTACTGATTTAATATACCAAAACACTGTTTGTGGAGGTTTCCCTCCTATATATGTGCCCTTAAATAGATTTGTGTTGATCACTGTGATGTTAAATGTTTGGGTATTTATGGAACCATGATGCATATTGTAAGTTATTGTGTGGGCTATATATTGTTAGCTGTATATATGTATATGTATAGTTGTATACGTGCGTGTTAGTGTATGTGTATATATACATATATGTGGAACAATGGGTTGGGTATAGGGAATGTGACATGGCTGCAGTTGGTGTCATGTGTTTATTGTGGAACTGCCCTGTATTTGATATTGCATCTGAATTGTTAGTACAGTTTGTTTCTTGGCTCCAGTGAGCTTATGTATAGCATAATGTATACACTGTAGATGTTTTAAATAAAATATAAAAAAAAAATTCAGTGTAACATCTCAACACATCACCAGAAGAAGCGCATCCTAACAATTCCTTTTCTTTTTACTTCAGAAGATAGAGATGAAGATTACTGTTGTAATAAACACTGGCAAAAAGATGAAATTAATGCAAAAAATACATTATTCTAAGTAAATGAAACTGTGTGGAAAAATATTTCCACATTTTATGTGTACTTGTAATAAAACCTAGTTATATTATGTTATAAAAGCTTAAGGCATAAAGTAATTCAGAGGTTTTTTATAAATATATAACTGGATTTATATGAGACGAGACTTAACTTATTTCTGCACTGTGTATCCTATAATAAGTTCAAGTAACTAGATAGTATTTTATTAACTTATAAAAGTATCTCTAAATGTATGTTACAAATTATTTTATTTTATATTTCTCCACAAAATTAACCAATAAGATAATGAATTTGATCTTTTGTTAAAATGCGTGAACATGAGGTGACGAGAGTCCATGTTCAGCCATGAAAACAGTGAGTGATGTGCTGGAAGATTGTTTGCTACCGAGTTTATAAAGTAATATAAAAGTTCTCTCGTCGTATAGGTATGTTGTGAAGTAAGTTACAGAGATGTAATCTCTATATTGGAGTTGGTTTAGGATACCGTTATTGTCAGTACGTGTGTGTGTGTGTGTGTGTGTAACATCACCTACAGTTGTTACTCTTTGTTCCTGCTAACTATACTCAAATCTCCGGATCACTGGTTCCTGCCATGGAAACAATGTTACACTTCCTTCACATCATCAGCTGTGTACTGTTGTAATATAACTCACAAGACTCACACGACGCACCCAGCTATGAGCTTCAACTATATTACATCTCAAGTTTTAACAAATGTTTTAAATTTAGTCTAATCATTTAAAATAATAATTCATACAATGATTTTTTTTTTGCCTTATATAATGTAAGCAGTTCACTTGTGACTATTAAGTGTGTGCGTCACAGGAACAGATGTAGAGTGAGGTGCAGTTGTAAGAGGTTAAGCAAATCTGCACATAGGTAGTCGACGTCACGTTAGCAGTCATAACATCACAAAAATCTCACATTCCATATGTGATACAATAATGTACTGCGGGTGAACGCTGTATCAGTAATACTACCAACCTGCTCAGCATAGCCAAAGACACATTCTGATCCAGCGCCCACGGCGACCATACTCCTGACGAAGTTCATGCAGGTTCTGCCTTGGGGACCATAGAAGGGGTCACCAGTAAGATCAATGGGCAAACACCTAGGATGACGAAAGGCTGGGGCTACCAGTGTTCCATTGGGGCAGCATTGAATTCCTTCTCCATTATCTGAGTGTACAACAGTATAATCAGTTTCAATATAAACAAAATAAATATTGATAAATTAGACACATGTGCAACTCTTGGGTATCTTTATTGAGGAAACGTTTCGCCACACAGTGGCTTCATCAGTCCATACATAGGAGAAACTTGAAGAACAGGAGGAGAATGAGGTAATCAGTCCCTCAACCTTGAGTCGATGTGTTCAGTCCATCAATCTTGAGTAGAATCATTCTACTCAAGATTGATGGACTGAACACATCGACTCAATGTGTCTAATTTATCAACATGTCGGTTCTCTGAACCATTCATCTACAAAATAAATATTGACGATTTTTATACAAATACTGGAGCATAAACATTGTTACTGTTGTATAATACTGTAGAACTGTAGTTCCAAAGTCTCTGTCGATCATGAACTCGATATTTTGCGTTTTCAGTCACGAACCTTTTTGTAAACATGTTAGGAATAACTTTTACAGTGTCCAGGATAAAGTCTTCTAGACAGAACAATAGATTCACTGTTATACAGAAGTACTGTTTAACTTAACTTTGCAGTAGTATAGGTCCTATAGGAAAAAAAAATAAACATTCCAAATAAAAGTTTTTTTTTTTTAACTTAGATTGTTACGGTGAACACTTATATGCAAAATGAAAATAAAGATACTCGTAAAAAAAATTATTAAGGTCTTCATATTAAGAAAGAAAACATACATTTTTAAATAAAGTTGAAAATTTAGGCATAAACTGGAAACAGATTTTCAGAACATGAAATATTTTCACTCCTGGGAAATTCCGTGTGTAGGAAGCTCAGTGTTGACTCACTGAGTCAGGCAGAACAGCACCATAATGGTGCTAACCACTTACACATGGACACTATATCCGTACAAGAATATATTTCTATGTACTTTTGCGTGAGTATAGCAATGAACCATTTTAATTATACACAAACCATACCTCGGGTGGGGTTTGAACCCGCGGTCAGAGAGTCTCAAAACTCTCTGACCTCTGGTTCAAACCCCACCCGTGGTACGGTTTATTTGCAATCGAGTCATTACGATTTCGTGAGTCATTTTAATTATACACAGATGGCTCAATTTTTGGAAGTTTTAGTGGATAAATAAATTTAAGAAAATCACAGATAATAACATGACTACAAATTATATTAACTCACTCGCGTAGCCCCTGAAAATCCTTTCATATACCAGTGGGGGGCGCATACCCCAGTTTGGTAATCCCTATAATTGAAGGATATATATATATAACTTTCCCGAGTTCTGTGAAAAGTCTCTTAAGCATCATAGACAAGAGCAACAGTAACTTTTGGAAATTCGTCTTACCCATAGTAGGGAAAGGAACATGAGCAAATTCATGGTCAATGAACTGTGCCCACACCATGAGGGACGAGGTGTACGACTCATCTGGCTGGTTTACGTCTAACAACACGTTACTGCTAATACGACGTGCATTGGGGAGAGGAGCGCCATCAACTGCTCTGGAGCGAGGTTCAAACACTCCTGTGGAGACATAATTACGGTTTACTGAGACTGGGAACTGTTAAGAGAAATCATTCATATGGTTACGAATTTTAATTATATATCACTAAGTATCATCAATAACCAAACAAAAAAAGCCAGCCACCGGTCTGGTTAATTAACCAAAATCTCCACTGACGTCAAAAATTTACATATTTCCCATGAGAAATAAATACAACAACTAGACTCAATGCTTTCTCAAAGTAAATATAAGTAAATTATATCAGTAAAAATATAAATAAACTTAAATGTCAAAGTCCTTATTTATTTATTATGTAGTACACAATAAGCCAGCAGAAGATCTAATAAAAAAAAAGCCCAAAGATCCATTCACCAAGTTATCATACAACTAATACTAGAGTTAGCAGAAATTTTCCCATTGTTCATGACAAACGACCCTTGAAGGAGAGTACCTTGATGCTGGAAACTCTGGTCTTGGTACTAAGAGCTGGAGCTACCCTCCCTTCCTTAGGTCAAACATTGGGCGTATTTCTTTACACCGGTTGTCTATGTTCCCCATCAGTAAAATGGGTACCTGAGTGTTAGTGGACTGTGTGGGTCGCATCCTGGGACATAACTGACCTAATTTGCCCGAAATGCTGAGCATAACAAGCGGCTTTCTATACAGTAGTATGTCATTGATGTCTGATAGGACTGTATACTTTATACATGTACTTGTTGAAATAAAGATAGTATTATTATTATCTACCATACCTTAGGCGCTGTATGATCACCTACGGGTTTTAGCTCTTCTTTGAATGCAACGATCATGAAGACAAAATTATACTTTCTGTAAAATTTACAGAACGGGTGGGGTTTGCATTTCTGCTATTACAATTTCATGAGTCAGTTCTCTTAACCAAATATAATTAAATGTCATAAAAAAAAATCTTAACCATAAATGCATCAAACACTGACCGTCATCATAAGTTGGTGGTAAGATCCTCTGGTTGGGAGTGTTGCTCTTGCCCCAGATGGGGTTAGCAAGGTTGTTGCAAGATCCATCAGCAGTACGGTACTTGGAGTTGGGATTGGGGCAGGTGGGAACCTGAGGACACAAGCTTTCAAGACTTGTACCGCTCACCGGCATGTTCCTCAGACCAAATGATCCTTGATTCCGTGTTAAAGTAAAACTGTAAATGTAAAACAAGAATTAACTCTCATAAGGAAGTGGCAATCCATTGTGATCTATATCTTATGCTCCAGAGTTATACTGAGTGAGATTTACAGAGCCCCTTTTCCCTAAACCTTGACAGGGAACACGGTAGATTTATATATGACAAAATTGCTAAGGTGTCAAGATAGGAAAAACTTGTTTTAACCTTAGCCAAACTGAATGGAGCAATTTGACAGGAAATCTTGAGTCTAGCGACTTTCTAAATACGATTCAGAATTGTTTTTTAAAACAGTTTGGGACAGAACCAATTAAATGAAATAAGCTGCTTGACTTGATTCTTGCCAACAATGAATCTCTAACTAATAATTTTGAGGTTAGACCAAAGATTATAGTAATTGGATAAACAATAGGATAAATGATCTCATAGGTCAAAAGAGACATTTACAAGTGAATCAAAGGAGGACACTAAAGAAATCAATACACTCAATTAAAGTGAGAAATCAAAAAAAGGAATTAAAAAAGCCAAAAGAGATTATGAAATTAAAGTAGCGAGGTAATCAAAGACCAACCCAGAAGTGTTTTCTCCAGGTATATATGAGAAAGATTAGGGAGAAGACAGACCAACTTGACAGTTGTTCAGATCAGCTTACCGCCAGGGACAAAAAAGTGTGCTATTTCAACACATAATTTTATTTCCCTTCCATAAATAAAATTATGCAGGTCAGGAAGAAAATAAGGTATGTACGGTCAATGTTAGTAGTGATGTGGTTCTCAGACGAACAGTTTAAAACCAAGCAAATCATCGGGCCTTGACGAACTGTTCTCAAGGGTCATAAAGGAATGTAAAGAGGAATTTAGCAAACCGTTATCTTGTCTTTCCAACAGATCACTACAAACTGGTATTGTGCCGGATAAGTGAAAAATGGCAAATGTGATACCTCTACAGAACGGGAGATAGGTCTTTAGCTTCAAATTATAGGCTAATTAGCCTATTCTTCACTGTGGGGAGAATTGATGGACTCCATTATTGATCACTAAATCTCAGCACGGTTTTACAAAAACAAGGCAGCAGAGAGTTTGCATAAATGGGGAGAGATCAGAGTGGGGACGCGTCACAAGCAGTGTTCCACAGGAATCAGTGTTGTGAGCTCTTTGTTGTTCACAATATACATAAACCACATAGATGAGGGAATAAATAGCGACATAAGCAAGTTTGCCGATTGCACTAAAATAGGCCGTCGGATTAACTCTTGACGAGGACAAGTTTGAAGAACGCTCTCACGAACGTTGAAGATCTATTGTTTCTTTTATAAATAGTTTTTTATGTTACTGGACTTTGACAGCTATTTTTCCTACATACTCATCTACTAGTTGCTTAGAGGCGGTGATAATGGCCATGGCGTTGCGATCCATTATTTTTGCTCCTTCGTCAATGATGAAGACTCGAAGATGTTGACCAGCCGGCGAGAACACTGGCAGGACGACGGAGTTCCTGTGTTGGGTGAACAGAGAACACTGAGTGAATGATTTCAAGGAAACATAGCACCACTATCACTTAAATTATATATCAGTAAAATAATTTAGTCATCCCTCCTCCTCTCTCTCTCACTAACTTTAACAAGTTTCTTACTGTATAAGGTTCTTTTCGATTTGATTAATAGTGTTGGCAAAGTTGAGTCCAGCACTGAACGACTGCGCCATCTTGGCGGAGTCCATAGATGGTAGACTGGCACTGACACTTGCAGGGGAGAAAATCCTCCTGGTGGTGACGCTTCCTGTTGAAGAACCTGTTAATACAACATCATGAATAACTCACCGAAAACAATTTAGTTATATTAACATTATTAATAAAAAGTAAAGTTGTAATGCTTAATATTTATAACTACACAATAATATTAAATCATTTAAAATTTAATACAGATAATTCAGACGCATGTTCAGCATTAGGAATCTTTATTGACGGAACGTTTCGCTTGTGATACAAGCTTCATCAGTCGAATACAGAGATGAATTACACTCGTGGAGAGATCACCGCTGGTAAGAACACGAAGTAAATGAAGCATATATGTCGTGCCGAATAGGTAAAACTGGTCAATTAGCAAGAACTCATTTAAAATTAAGTCCTTTCTAAAATTTTATTTTATACGATTAAAGATACAGTTTTTCATTTATGTGAATGCAAAAATTAATAACTTTGTACCAAAAGAATCATATAAAATTTATCTAGCCTTATTATAACAAGCGCAATTTAATTTAGCCTAATCCAACTAAATATAATTTAGATAAGTTCACAATAATTTAATAATAAACACACAAATGAAATATATTTTTATGACGTGATTTGGAGTGTGAGTAAGTTAACATTTGTGGAGGTATTCAGTGAAACCGGTTAGCCGGACTTGATTCTGGAGGTGAGTTTACAGGTGCACACTGAAGAAGGTGGAATCTACAGTAAATTATCAGTATGGCACGCTCTGTGTGAGACGTGAGGATACATAAAGGTCAACCACCAGTGGGAACGTTGAGTAAGATATATTCACTGGCCCAGGTGGCGAATGTGCCCGGTGGCCGGTGGCAAGCTCGACTTCAAAGGAGGGCGGGTTCGATTCCCGGCGGTGGAACATTTCGAACCTTTACTTACACTGTTGTCTGTTCACTAGCAGCAAATAGTACCTGGGTATAGTCGACTGGTGGGGTCGCATCCTGTGGGCAAACTAAGGACCCATGGAAAGAAGTTACAGTCTCGAGGTACGCACTGACTTTCTTGGGTTCCGTGGTAACCCGGGTTAAAAATCAACGAAATTTATTCTTATCTTATCTTAGAGGTATACGTATGTCATTGTTTATCCGATGAGAATTCATTTTAATTTTTGTTTTAAAGATTAGAATATCCTTGACTGGTGGTGTAAAGGTGACATACGGTTTTCAATGACCCTTGTGCATTTTATATTCTTTAAATTTAATTAACTTTGGAAAATTAATGTTTCATAAAATTCGAGATAACATTAAAGTATACCTCAGACAGGTGTATAGACCTACCGTGGATACCCGAAACCGTGGATAGTAGTGGTGACCCATGTAGATGTAAGTCGGTTTTTGTTAAGTAAAAGGACAAGTGCAACTAATGTAACACTTTATTGTGGCAACGTTTCACTCTCCAGGAGCTTTATCAAGCCGTTTCCAGCTTGATAAAGCTCCAGTAGAGCGAAACGTTGCCACAACGAAATGTCACATTAATTACACTTGTGTCCTTTTATTTAACATATTGTCGGTAATTCTACCAATATTAATACAAGTCGTCTTTTGCTTACATTCATACCTGTGATAAAGTTTAATTGATAAATTACTTATAATAAATCGAGAATTAGCACTTTTTCACTAACAGGAAGTACTACACGACTTCTCATAGGCTTTGAAAAACTGCCACCATCACTATTTTCTTTGCTTTGTAGTCATTATTAAGCAAGATTAAATGGTTTATTTTCAGACCAGGGTAAACAGTAGATAACGGAAACCTCGGAAACTAAATCCGTGGACACGGGGTTCGTCTGTACTTTAATTTCTCTTTCGAATCAAAAGTATTAACTAAAGAAATATTCAGAAAAAAATATTTATTTAGAAGAGCCAGTAAGTAGTACTTACCTCGGAAGACAACATATAAGTAGAACAATGTTTTAAGAAGAGATCATACAAGAAATATTAGTATGTATAATATAGCACTATCACTGAGGCTTCTTTTCCGTGAAAATAAGTTACTTTAATTAATGTAGTGTACGAGTTTTTTTTTTAGACAATAATTTAATAGGATTCTTAACCGAAGTTCATTATTTTAACTTGGTATAAAAATATTTATTTGTTTTGAGCGTTTATGTTTGTTGCTTTTATTGTTAGTTAATTTTTATGAATTCATTTGACAGAACTAGGATTAGTTTGCAATCGTGTTATTGCCATTTCTCGAGTTTCTTTTTATTGTGTGCGTGTTATGTGTGTTGGGTGACCTATACCGCCACAGTGCTCTGAAAATATTACAACTGCTAACACTACTACTGGAGATATTCCACAGGCTGTGCTGAGTGACTGCTGTCTCCCAGGCAGGCAAGACACAAGAGCGGTATTAGTATGTATATTCAGGAGATATTTCGCCCTCAGAGACGAATTTCCCTGGCGGGGGAAACGTCTTCTTAATAAATGTCCCATTGTCGCTTTCGTGTCTTACATACTTGTTTGTGTTTATACACCATTTACAACTAGTCTCTCAGGCACAGCTACTGGACGATGCTGCGGTGTCATGGTACTGGTGTTAGGGCTCTTGATCTTAAAAATTACATCTGTATTTTCTTTCTCTGAATACATTCTGACTGCCTCCCATTTCCCCGGTGCTGTATGACCCATAAGGTTTTAACACTCCCCATGAATGTAATGTTATTTTTGTTGCCACTGTTTTAAGCAGATGGTAGGTATGGTATGAGACAGCGACACTATGGTAACTACACAAATAAATAAATGATTCAGAGAACCGACAGAATGATAATTTAGAAGCTTGTGTAACACTTAGGTATCTTTACAGTGGAAACGTAATCAGTCCCTCAGGATGGTGGACTGATAACCTCAAAGTCCTTATTTCAACCATTCTTCTCTGTATTGGACTGAGGAAGCCACTGGTTAACGAAACGTTTTTTGCAGTTTCCTTAAAACTGGAAAACTGTTTTCACAGTCCACACAACAGGTTCTATCAAGTCACAAATAAGAATCTTCATTTGTGTCTCCATAAACCCGAGCACACTGTGTTCGGTTTAAATGACTTTACTATATCCTCGTGTAAAAATTTTAGTGTCGGATATCTTTAATGGGTTTAGCACCTTTACAGGAGTAAAATAAATAAAACCATGCACATGTCAGACATACCTAGGTGAAGAATGAAAGTCGTCATGCAGTACTCTGAATGTACTTAAAGGTTGTTTACAAGCAAATGTGGGCTTACCAGCGGCAGCAGCAGACACAGGGCAGCAGACCCCTGCAACACCACCACCCAGGTCACAGCCTTGCTGGATCTGAATAAGAATATAATAAGAAAGAAACACTGTATTAAACCTACTGACCTATACTAGAGAGGTTCTCCGTAAATACTAGAAAAATTACAGGTAAAAGGACACATTTACTACGGCTATAGCTGTATAGTCCTTGTGGCTTAGCGCTTCTTTTTGATTATAATAATAATACTACGGCTATATTTCGCTCTACCTTAATTTATCAAGCCGTAAATGTCTCATTATTTGCTCCCGTGTCCTAAGTAGGTCGTGTCCACAACCAGGCACACCCACCCATGTCACTATAAAATATTTTTGAAGGTGATCAAATATGCTCCCCTCAGTGACGCTACTTGGCAGTTTAACTCATCTTCAAATCTGGTGTCAAAACAATACTTTGCTATTCTTTCTAAATTTTAATTTAACTAACTTGAATCCTTTGTTGGGAGTCTTGTTTTGGCTAGATATTTTCGGCGCTCTCATTATATACGCTTATTTTTTCTGATTGTTATTTGGTGCATTTCTACGATATCTGCAACTTTATTATTAAATTATATTCAGTGTACACAACACACACACACACACACACACACACACACACACACACACACACACACACACACATATATACATACATATATATTTATATATACATATATCGTGCCGAATTTAAAATTAAGTCATTTCTAAAATTTTCTCTTATACGTTTAAAGATTAATTTACGTTAATGTAAAAATTAATAATTATGTACTAAAAGAACCTTAGAAAACTTACATAACCTTATTATAACAAGCGCAGATTAATTTAGCCCAATCTTGCCTTATTCGGCAAGAAGAGCGTTGCTGTTTAAGCCAAAATTGCAAGCTTTACCTATTCGGCACGACACACACACACACACACATGTTACTAGGTGAGTACATACCTGGTCAAGGTATAGAGCGCAGCGCACAAGGAACACGCAGTTACAGCCACCTTGTTGAGCTGGTGGTCTGCTTCCTGGCCTGCTTCCTGGCACAGAAAAATAGGAACAAATATTTTTTTCCACTGCTACATATACGTCTTATATACTGTATGTACGTATGTATATATATATATATATATATATATATAATCTATATATATATCTATCTCTTTTCTTTCAACACACCGGCCGTATCCCACCGAGGCGGGGTGGCCCAAATGGAAAAACGAAAGTTTCTACTTTCAAATTTAGTAATATATACTGGAGAAGGGGTTACTAGCCCCTTGCTCCTGGCATTTTAGTCGCCTCTTACAACACGCATGGCTTACGGAGGAAGAATTCTGTTCCACTTCCCCCTGGAGGTAAGAGGAAATAAACAAGAACAAGAACTAGAAACAAAATAGAAGAAAGCCCAGAGGGGTGTGTGTATATATATGCTTGTACTTGTATGTGTAGTGTGACCTAAGTGTAAGTAGTAGTAGCAAGACGTACCTGAAACCTTGCATGTTTATGAGACAGACAAAAGACACCAGCAATCATACCATCATGTAAAACAATTACAGGCTTTCGTTGTACACTCACTTGGCAGGATGGTAGTACCTCCCTGGGCGGTTGCTGTTTACCAACCTACTACCTAGGATATATATATATATATATATATATATTAATATATATATATATATATATATATATATATATATTATGAAAGCTGATTAATTCATGGTATACGAAAGTGACTGCAAATTTTTAACGAAGTACAAGTTGTGACGAACATTTTATACACACTGGAAAAATAGTCTTACTTGGCAGGTATGTTAATTTCTTCCTACTGGAAACCATCTCAAAAGACGAATTTACTCTCATTTAAAAAATGTATTATAACCTCTTCCAAAACACACAGAGTGGCAAACCGAAGCTTGATCTAAAATTCTGCCTGACTGTCGAAATATCAGCTAAATTATCTTTTTATGTAAAAAAAAATGTCATTGGAAGGTATGTAAAGTATTTTAAAATTTGGATTGTTTTTAAATTATAAAAGTGAGACGAAAAGAAATCTTATCAACGTAAATAACTTAGCATCTGCATAACTCTCCATAACAAAGCACTAAGGAAGGAGAGTTTGGTGTTATTTGTAAGATTATTGTAACTTCTTCAAAACCATTTCCTACTCTTATGTTATTACGATTATTCCTTTACACGATAACACACTTCAATTTCTGAATGTTTCCTGTCAGTGACACGTCAGGCAACACTGTCACTGTGTAGCACCAGGAAACGTTCAAATTTGAACGAGTATGACTCGTGGTGTGAGCCTGGCATATTATTAAGCCTCTTCAGAGAAAATTTTTCCTAACCATTATATCACTCCCGTCAACCCCCTTCAGCATGAAAATAAAGTTTGAGAATTCAAATGTAAAAAATGAAATTATAAAATAAAAAAAATATTCAGAGGAAACCCAAACCAAAAATATATTGGAAAAACCAATTTTTCTTTGGTGGTGAAGCAACACAACTCAAGTATTCTTGGCATCACATAAGTTCAAGGACAACCTGTTTACATCTTCACTGGTGACTGAGACAAGAAGCAAAATTAAATGTAATTTAGAACAAATGTATATTGCAGATGCCATTTTGCTAAGATCTGAGTTTGAACAAATCTACAGAATTCGATTTCTTAAAGACATTGGAATTAGGTGAAAAAATGGAGGAGAGGTCACGTTGGACTCCTTGTTGTTCACAATTTACATAAGTGATACAGTAGAGGGAATAAATAGCGACATAAACAAATTTGCTGATGACACCAAACTTGGCCGAGGATCTGACTAGACTCATACAATGGTCGGAGAAGTGGCAGATGCTATTTAACATAAGATGCGATCTTGTTCGAATTTTTAATCCTGGAGTGTTAGCCACCCAGGATAAACCAAAAAAGGCAGTGGGTCATAGAGGGACTTTCTGTTTTTTATTTCCATTGGAGTTCTCAATTTTGTTCCCCAGGATGCGACCCACATCAGTCGACTAACACCCAGATATCTACTTGTTTGCTAGGTGAACGGAGACAACAGGTGTAAGGAAACACGCCCAATGTTTCCACCCTTGCCGGGGATCGAACCACGGACACTCAACCTGTGAAGCAAGAGCGTTGCCTACCAGACCACGTGTGGAAAATACTGTATATTTTCCGAAAATACAGTGTTTTTTGTATGTAAATTGATGGAATATATTGTAGGTAATAAAAATTAATTTGTAAATAAATAAAGAACCAGCGAAACTGGTGAGCGTCGCTGGGGGAGAGTCTCCATTGTTTTGAACTGACCAAGAGAAAAGTTATTGAAAATCGGAAGAATTTTCGTCGCTCTAGAGGTTATATTGGGCTTAAAACCTCTCAAATAGGAGCCGAAATTTTTGGAATTGCAGTCCTGCAGAACTTGAGAATTAGGCGACTAGACAGGACTCCGTAATTAGATGAAAACAGGATATTACCACAGCTGAGTGATGTCTATTTATGTTGAAATTCTGGCCAGTATTTTCCTCATATTTTAGGCAGGGGTTTTTGTGTATGACACACCGTACTCTCCAGACTAATTGGTGAGTGATATTGAGATAAATTCTCCTTCAATGTATATGTATTCATTTTTTAAATTTAATATACAGTCCACATATTTATATTAATGTTTTACCAGAATTCCTGGTGATGTATATTTCATTTGAAATTAATATAGGTCCAGAGTGACTTGTGGAGATAGAGATTGTAGTAGGAATCGAGGGGGGACATTTTTTGCGACCTAAGTGTCCTAAAATTCCTACTTGTCTCTATAACTTTGATAAAGAATAATTATCTTTGTTACCATTTACTGGTATATATCTAATGAGATTCATCCAAGTAAATTTAATTTTCCACACCACAGGCTACCCGTGTTATGTGGAAAAAGACAATTATGTACAGTTCAGGACATTTATTAAAGGAAACGTTTCGCCACGAGTGGCTTCTTCAGTCCTAAAACAAGTATATAAAATGGCAGGAGTCAGGTGGAATGTGGCGTGGGTAGTAGTGGTAGTAAGTGAGAGTCTTGTTCTATTTTTAATTTGTATTTTTATATTACTAGTTTATACCTAGTTGTACTTTAGTTCATTCCAGCACAACACATAGACAACATCAACTTCATTATGTGTAGTAGTGACTATACCCTACATGACCAAAATACTCTAGCTATATACTTGTCCAAACTTCCTACCACTACAGATATCAGTACTAGAACTCAACACACAACTCAGGATATAAATAACCATAACTTAAACCTAGAAGATGATTGATCACGTTGACCCTGATCTAAACCTCCATAATCTGACACCCAATCAAAACCTATTGGAAAGCAACTGCCTTTATTACACAGCATCACAAGCCACCACTATCCTAAACAATGCTAAAAGTCTATCAGTACTTAACTACAACATCAGGTCCTTAAGCAAACACTATGATGACCTCCTAGCACTCCTTGAATCACTAAAGACACCCTTCTCATGCATTATTCTTACTGAGACCTGGCTTAAGCAGGACACAATAGATATCTACCCTCTACCAGGATACACAGCAATTCACAACTGCAGACCAAACCAAGTTGGGGGTGGTATTGCAATCTATTACTCTAACCAATTATCTTGTCTTAGCACCACTTGCTTTAGTGATGAATATGGGGAATACATTTTTGCTAATTTTACTGTAAAAAAACCTTAAGACGCCTATAACAATCGGTGCCATTTACCGGATACCTCACACAAACATCCCAAATTTCAGTGAGAAATTAAAGTCACTAATAACAAACAGACAAATGAATAAACACCACCTTCTCTTAGCTGGAGACTTCAACATCAACCTTGGCTTACTAGATGATCAGCCTGTAACTGATTTCATCAACAATATGAACAACACACTTCTCATACCAACAATAACTAAACCAACCAGTCTCACTGAGACAAGTGCAACCATAATAGACCACATATGGACCAATATACTAGCCCCCCTTAAATCAGGGATAATCACAGATAGCACTACAGACCTAATACCTACCTTCTCCTGACAAACATTAGTAACCACCACTTTGAATACAACAAAGTCTCATATTAACTCCATGACCGAGGCCTCAGTAAGAAAGTTCACAGCATACCTAGAGACTGTTGATTGGCCTACAAATTCTCCACCAAGGCCAATGGTATTGATGACTGGACAGGCATATTTCATCTTAACAAATTATTAGACTATACAACAACATTGTCCTATAAAAACAAAACAGATCACAAACAAACGGCTTGGTTGCCCATGGCTAACCAGCACCATTCTGAAATCCATTGACAAGAAACACCAATATGAAAAGCAATATAGACAGGGCTTAATACACAAAGATATTCTTAAACACTATTCATCAGCTCTCACCAAAGTAATAAAGAAAGCCAAACAACTATACTACTCCAGTAGATTCACAGACACTAGAGGAGATATAAAAAAGACCTGGAAAACACTCTCCTCAGATTCTAGGGACCCACAAACTGAGAAAAACCAAGAATATTGTTCTAACTAAACCTAATGAAACACCACTACATCCCACTGACACAGCTAACAAGATAAACAACTTCTTCTCAACCATAGGATCTAATCTCGCCAGTAAAATCCCACATACCAATGCCCATGCCGGGGACTACCTAGATGGGAATTTCCCTAATTCCTTCTATCTTGCACCAACTGAGCCCACGGAAGTCACTGAGATTATAAAGTCACTTAAAAATAACTCGGGGAATCTGTCTCACGTCCCACGATTACTGTACAAGCGAGCGCCCCATGTCCTTTCGCATGCTATTTCATTACTTTTTAACAAGTCACTAGAGACTAGCACCTTCCCGAAACTACTCAAGATGGCAAGGGTTACACCAATACATAAAGGTGGTGACCCTACAGACTTAAACAACTATAGGCCAATATCTAACTTACCATTGCTATCCAAAATCTTTGAGAAACTCGTGCACAGGAGACTGTATTCATTTACAATGGCTCAAAACATACTCAACCCCTGCCAATTTGGATTCAGGAAAAATAAAAGCACTAATGATGCAATCATAAAAATGCTAGATCTGCTTTACACAGCATTGGAAAATAAGGAATATCCATGGGAAATTTTTTTATTGACCTAAGAAAAAGCTTTGACACAGTAGACCACGACATCCTACTTCACAAACTTGATCTTTTACGGTATAAGAGGCCATGCGCTTGCTTATTTCAAATCTTACTTTTACTAATAGGTATCAGTACGTCACCATTAAAGACACAGCATCACAACACGGCACTTGATACAGGAGTTCCGCAGGGAAGTGTTCTTGGTCCCCTGCTCTTCCCCCATATACATCAATGACCTTCCAAAACGTTTTCCCAACACCTGAAACCCATTCTCTTTGCTGATGACACGACTTATGTCATCTCTCACCCTAATTTGCCACCTCAACACCATTGTGAATGAGGAGCTGATTAAAATATCGACTTGGATGCACCCAAATTAAACTTACGCTTAACCCTGACAAAACCTACTATATTATGTTTGGTAGCAGAGCGGGAGATGCACAAATTAACATTAAGATTGACAACACTCTAATTACCAGAAATAATGGGGCAAATTCCTTGACAACAACCTGAATTTCAGCACCCATATCCAGCATTATAACCAAAAAAGTATCCAAAAAACGGTTGGGGTCCTCTCCAAGATACGATACTACGTGCCGCAAATGCCCTTCTCACCTATACCACTCACTTATTTATCCATACCTCACCTATGCTATTTGTGCTTGGGGATCAACTGCAGCAACACACCTAAAGCCAATAATAACCAACAAAACCCTGCCAGTAAGAATAATCACTAAATCCATCCCTGGCAACAACCCCCCCACTCTTCATAGACTAAACTTACTCCCAGTTCAGTCATCCACACTTACTACTGTGCAAACTACATCTACAGGGCCTTAAAACTCTAATATCAACCTTGCCTAAAACGCTTTCTTGATAGTTGTGACAGAACCCCCAGGCATAACACCAGACACAAACATCTCTACGACATTCCCGTGTCCGACTAAACCTTTACAAAAATTCAATGTATGCCAAAGGCCTAAAATCTGAATACCTACCTGAGAACTCTAGAACTGCAGACACATTCATCACTTCAAAACTACCATTAGAAAACATCTTATCTCCCTGATACACCCCGTCAACTAACTACACGAATCCACCTGGTGGGTTCACACTTACACTCACTCACTCATTTAACCATAAACAGAAATATTAATCTCAATCTTAAAATAATGAATCCTGTGATACTCCAATACTGAAACTATGTACTGTGCCAAAACAAAAGCATTCACATTGCTAAACTCACAAACTAGTATTTAGTCACTTAGCCATAATACCAACTTACCTCATAATTTGTAATATTTTACAATTAAGAATAAAACTAAGTTTGCCCGAAATGCCTAGCCATGCTAAGCGTTCTAGTGGTACACTCTGTAATCACAATTTTACTACATGTAAACCACACAATAACCAAATTTCTGTAAACTCAGCATTGTAATCCTTATAGAGAATAAACTTTGAATTTGAATTTGAATTTGAACTGTGGTGAGACGGGTTAGTTTAGGTAGAGAAGGACCTGCTACCATCATGTTACAGCGGCCTCCAGAGTGGGTAGTATCCTGTGTTTGTTATAACTGCTTTAGTTTGGAAGACAACAAGTATAAACAATTCCTCGGGTTAGCCATGGGCTCACCCCTTAGTGCAGTATTAGCCAATTTATATATGCAGGACCTTGAGTCCAGACGGATTCTCAATAACATCCCTATACTCGTTTTCTTAGTTATCCCTATATTAGGACTGAACAAGCCACTCGATGCGAAACGTTTTCTTTAATAAATGTCCTGAACTGTACATAAGTGTCTTGTTGTACATGAATGATATACAATACTGGCAAGATAAAAATAAGACTGTTACAACATCTGGTTATGTTTACTGTAGATGTTTGTGTGTCGCTGGTGTGAGGAGCAACGTAGCCGTGAAGACTGATTCTTCACGACTACTGCTCTCTTCTCCCCAACTCCATGGCTGAGGGACTGATTTCCTCATCTTTTGTATATAGTTTTAATATCTTCCAAGTATGTCTTTGAATTTACATTGAACAACCCACTGGTTAGCGAAACGTCTACAGTAAAGATACCCAGATGTTGCACATGTGTCTAATTTTCATCATAAGTGTCTTTTTTCCACATCATGTCGGTATCACCATACCATTTCTTACCCGTGTTATCTTGGCTGACTAACCCGTCGGGTTAAAAATCCGAACCAATTTTAACTTAATCTTTGACACTGCCACATACACACTCGCCCTCCATAAATAAAAACGAGAATGTCTACTGCCGTGAGTGAAGACGGGGGCTATCATCAGTCTAGTTACACTCGCCAGTAAACAATCAAAGCAGGCCAGTGGAACCGCTTAACAAGTCATCATATGAATGAAAGATCAGAAGACACTCAAAGAACCAGACACCACCAGTATGATCCTCAATGTTAACTCACCCGGGAACTTGACCTGAGCGTCCAGGGGCGCCACCAGCACCACCACCAATAACCACCACAACAACATCCTCCGCTGCTTCTTCAACTATTTCTTCCTGCTGGGAGAGAGAAAGAATCAGTTAAGTATTGTTATTATTATTATATTATTATTATTATTATTATTATTATTATTATTATTATTATTATTATTATTGAAGATTGAGACATTTTGCAACAGATGGGAATCGATGTGTTGAGTCCATCAGTCTTGTAGAAAGTAGAGTATAGGGTCTTAGAAGTGGCTTATATAATGTAGTCAGGTGAGTGGAAGCAGGAGGAGGCGGGGTCACAGTGGAACCATCCACTAGTGTAAGTAGGTCTTTGTCCAAAGGTTGGACAAGTATTCAAGAATTCCTTGTATCAAGATCCCATGACGTTGTATTGTCTGACAGATGTGATAAATGGTTTTGAAAACCGATAACTTCAACTTGCAGGTTTTCGAAACCATTTATCACATTATTATTATTATTATTATTATTATTATTATTATTATTATTATTATTATTATTGTTGTTGTTGTTGTTGTTGTTATTGTCTTGTTGTTTGGGAAGCTTCAAAGAAGGTTAGCGTCGCACAACACTTGGGGATCGGAAGACAATGGTGTCAGACCAATGTTAAGAAATGGTAGCTGCCTTTTTTTGGAATCAAGAAGTTCTCACCAGCATCAGTACCAATGAATAGTAAAACAATGTATACAGTGAGTTAATGTGTGAAGTGGTCTTATTGCAGCTGGTAATGTTATGAGTAGTTAGACCTGAACTATCGTGGAAGACAGTGAAATTTTATATAACTCTTCTCGTCCAGAAATGTGATCTTGCAGGTGACATGACAGACATGTTGCCTGCTGTTATCTTCATTATGTTATGTGATAATTGGTTTGGAAAACCGACAAGTTGAAGAATTGAGACACTTGTGCAACATATGGGAATCTTTACTGAAGAAACGTTTCGCCACACACTGACTTCATCAGTCCTATACAAAGCAGGAAGGTATAAGAAGAGGAGTTTGAGGTAATCAGTCCCTCAGGTTAATTTTCGAATCATTTGTCACTTTAATTTCATAGTTCCGGTTAGCTTTTCTTATCTCTTTTTAATCTCCATCTTAATGTGAGTTAATTGATCATTAAGATGGCCTTCACCTCTTTTGATAGGCCTATAAATTTCTTTCTGCTCAAAAGCATGTTTGAGCCTATTGTTCATCCATTTTGGATTATTTCTATTTCTCTAAACGGAATAAATGTTCTTTGGGTAGCGTGTATACTGTTTAAAAAACTGTCATATTCATAGTTCACTTCTACACCCCAGTCCACAGATGATAGGTGTTCTCCAAGCACTTTGTAATTTGCTATGCGAAAATCTGGGACTGTTACTGAATTATCCCTACTGTCATACTTCCAGTCGATACTAAAGATAATCGATTTGTGGTCACTCGTAACAAGGTCCTCCGTAATCTCAATATTATTAATAAGGTTATCTTCGTTAACAGAACCAAATCAAGCAACTTATTTCTCCTCGTTTGTTTTTGTCACAAACTGCTCCAAAAAGCACTCTTGAACTACTCCAGTAAGTTGTTTGACTCAAGATTCCCAGTCATTGAATGCCAATCTATTTGATTAAAATTAAATTTTCTAAAATTGCTACGTTATCGTGCCTTGTGGCCTTAACAATTTTCTCTCATAGTAGTCTCCCTTGGTCCCTATCCAAGTTTGAAGCACAGTAAATCACGTTTAAAATTAATTTTTCGTGTCCTTTCGAAAATTCTACCCAGACTTAGTGTGTGTTTTTTTCAGTTCTAATACCCGCATTTATGCAGCAATTTAAGTGTTTTCTGACATATAGCGCCACCCCACCTCCCCGTTTCTTAAACCATACCCCCGGCCGGGATTGAACCCGCGGTCATAGAGTCTCAAAACTCCAGCCCGTGCGTAGTCCTAGACAGCCAGCATGCGTGGTTCAATCGGCGGGGGTGTTATTTGCAATCGTGTCATACGATTTCTTAAGTCATGTTGACGCAGTGAAGGGATTGAGCTAGAGTTCGCCAGGCCACGCTAACTGGAGATTCTCTGTAAAAACTGCATTTGGGTCACAGAGGTGCTGTGCTAACTTCTAGGTGTGAAATTCTAGTTGGATGAATCTTATTGTGGCTGGCTGCTAGTGGCTAGCGGCGGGCTGGATTTGGATTGACGCGGTTCAATCCCGGCGGGGGTATGGTTTATTTGCAATCGCTGTCTTCATTTTTAGTCATCCCGTTTTCGCAATGTGAATACTTAAAATCCAGATGTGACTCAGCAGGCATGTCCTGATTCTTTATCAAACCACGTTCATTTAGCCAAATATGACAACGTTACCCACACTTCTAACTAATTACTAGTCTGTTTAGCATTACACTATTGCATACATATATTTGAAACCCTGTCTTATCTTTTCCTCCTGTCATCTGCTCTCATTATACCTACTGTCCATATTACCTAGTGTCACTGGCTTTCCAGTATTCACCAATAACTACATCATTCTGCCTGTAACTAACGATATCGCTACACTGATAATTCATCCTGGCCATTTCTGTTGTGTTATAGTTCATGACTTTCCCACAAAAGCCCATACCACTAATTATTTCTAGTATAAAGCCGTAACTCCCTCCACTGCATTGGCCAGTGCCCCCACCCCAGACCTAGATAAGTGAACACCATCCCTGGCATACATGTCACTTCTGCCATGGAAGAGGTCCCAGTTGTCTATAAATGGTAGTGCATTGTCCTTACGGTGTTTGTCCAGCCAGCAATTAACACCAGTAGCTCTGGACAACCATTCATTTCCAACTTCTTTCCTTGGCAAAATGCCACATACTAAATGCTCCCTCCCTTCGTCCTAAATTATGTCTATCGATGTCCTATACTTTACAGTGGCCCATGGCCTGGTGGCAAAAGCTCTTGCTTCACACGCTGAGGGTCCAGGTTCAATTCCGGCAAGGGTGAAAAAAATACTGGGCGTGTCCTTACACCGTTTGTCCATGTTCACCCATTAGTAACAATGGGTATCTGGGTGTTAGTCGACTGGTGTGGATCGCATCCTGGAGTTATGCTCTGCATAACAAGCGGCTTTCTATTTAGTAGTATGTCTTTGATGTCAGCTAGGCTTGTATACATTGTACATGTACTTGCTGAAATAAAGATATATTATTATTAATCAGGTCCACACTCTTACGCCTGCCAACATTGCCTCCATCACTGAGACAGATAATAGGATTGCTCTCATTACCTCTCATGATGTCATCCAGACTGCTAACGACATCCTCCATCCTGGTCCCAGGAAAACACCCTCTGTCTCCTCTTCCTATCTCTAAGACAAAATGCCCTGTCTGTAAACTTCACTGCCCCTAACAAAAACAATGTTCTTACCTCCGCCAGCTGTGTTCGTCGTGATGTTCTCGATGGTCTTTGTAGGGCATAGTTCTAACATGGGTCGAGGCATGACCAAAAGAACCTTAGAAAACTTACCTAACCTTATTACAACAAGCGCAATTTAATTTAGCCTAATCCAACTAAATATATTTTATGAGTTTACAATAATTTAATAATTAAACACAATAAAAGATATTTTTTTTGTTAGGTTCAGAATATTTTTTGCGAAATTATTGCATACACATATTTTCGCTTGCTCTATTCGATAAGAATGTTTAAGCCAAAATCGCAAGTTTAACTTATTCGGCACTACGTATATATATATATATATATATATATTATATATATATATATATATATATATATATATATATTATATATATATATATATATATATATATATATATATACTATGCAAAAATCGCGAAAAAGGGATCAGAGATGCAAAACAAATGCAGGGGGAGTTGACTGATAGATATCATTCAACCCTCATCCCTCGTGAGGTTTTGTGTGCGAGAGGCTTGGTCTTCCAGCAGGCTCCTGTGGCGTGTTAGAAAAGAGCGAGTGGAGACAAATGACTTTTATGATTGACGTAATGTTGGAGTGTGAGCAAAGTAACATTTATGAAGGGATTCAGTGAAACCGGCTACAAGTTCATATACAGCTACAGGTATATATTTCTGAGTGTGTATATATACGCTTAGACTAATTTAATTCTATTTTTTCGGGATTATAGTACCTTTGAGAGACATGTAACGATTACGATCCCCCTTAATAACCCTGATGTAGTTGATATACTTTAAAGTCAATAAAATAATCTGAAAAAAATGCTTGTTCCATGAAAGGGAGAGAGAGAGAGAGAGAGAGAGAGAGAGAGAGAGAGAGAGAGAGAGAGAGAGAGAGAGAGAGAGAGAGAGAGAGAGAGAGAAACAACTTACAGAGAAACAACTTACAGAGAAACGCTTGCTGCTGCTCTAGTGGTATCCTTCGCAATACTGAGGCAGGTGGTGCTGGTGGGGACCAAAACCACATCCAGTTGTCAGTTGCCACAAGTTACCAGGTGAACCTCCAGCACCTGTCACCTGGAATACACACTCCCCTGGACCTCGCCTCATCAAAAACAAGCCTTTTTTTTCACTTTGCGTGCCAAAAGCAATCTTATTAATACTCTTAACTCTTCCCATTTTTTCACCCAGGTCAAATATCCATGAGACGTGTAATTTCAAGGTGTTATGAATGAATAATTATTTGTATTAAGTAATACTGGAAACCAAAACACGAGCGTCACTCTGGGAAAAGATGGAGGTTAAGGATATCTGGGTAATTCCCACACCAACAGCCGTCTTTCCCACGTCCTCTCCGGCTCTGGTTTCCTACAATAATTATTGAAGGTGAATAACCAGAATTATTCAGGGTTAAGCCGTGTAAAATAAATATAGCACTTGGCTCTGATTACAAATTATTCCCTTATAAAGGACACCTACAGTGTTTGTTTGATGTTTACTTCATTTGTTTTCTCTTTTATAATTGTCATGTTACTAACGGTTAAGTTCACTAGGTAATCACTGAATTACTGGTGCTTGTGGGCTGTCTTCTATTCCTATAAAACTCAATCTTACTGGCACCTGGCACTGTTATGCCTGTGGCACTAACGTCTCCTGCCTCCCTACCTCATTCTTGGTAAGAATGTTCCACCCAACGAATCTGTTGGGAACTCGTACTCATTTCTGCAGCACTGCAAGCTCCTGATAATTTGTTGATTGCAACACGAAAGGCCTAGATCTATCATTCAATTCCCCTGTGTTTTTTTGCATCTTGTATCGCTTGTTTGCGATTTTTTTACACACACACACACACACACACACACACACACACACACACAACACACAACAACAATATATATATATATATATATATATATATATATATATATATATATATATATATATATATATATATATATATGTTGTGTGTGTGTGGGCAAAACTGGTCAATTAGCAAGAACTCATTTAAAATTAAGTCCTTTCTAATATTTCTCTTATACATTTAAGGATATAATTTTTTCATTTATGTTAATGTAAAAATTAATAATTTTCCACCAAAAGAACCTTAGAAAACTTACCTAATCTCATTATAACAAGCGCAATTTAATTTAGCCTAATTCAACTAGATACATTTTATATAAGTTTACAATAATTTAATAAACAAACACAAGGAAATATATTTTTTTCGTTAGGATCAGAATGATTTTTGCGAAATTATTGCATACACAAATTTTTGCTTGCCTTATTCGGCAAGAAGAGCGTTGCTATTTAAGCCAAAATCACAAGTTTGCACGACAAGTATGTCGTGCGATTTTGGACGATACACTACTCAACAACTCGAGAAAGGACAAAGCTCCTCTCCTAGCGGTGAAGGTACCACATTTAGGTTGTTGTTGTTCTAGATTCGCCGGTATAATTGCTTGGCCCGGCCTTTTCCAAGAGGTGGCCCGGCCTTGGCTCCCTTTCGCGGGAATGTCTTTGACCAATGTCTGCCCTGGGAGGCACACGTACCTCTTCGTCTTCTGGGACCAGCTGTCCCCAGGCCTAGCACCATTCCCCGCCCCCACGGGGCTCGGAGGAAGAGGCTAGGCACCTTGGGGTGCCACAACCCCGCCCACACTGGGCACGAAGGGTGTGGCAGCTGCATAGCAGCAGACGATGTCAGGAGGTGCAAAGGCAGCAAGCACTACAGGATCCTTTTCGAGCCACACCCCAGCTTTGGGCCGAAGCCTGAATGCTGGGGACGCTCAAGTGTGCCTCTTGCTGTGAGTGTTGCTGCTGCTACTTCACTTGTCCGTTGCACTCTTTCCCCACATTCGGAAGATTTTCTCGGGCACCCCATTCGACACACAGGCTGTTTGGATTGGTGTATCTCTTAGCCTAGCCGCCCCCATACTCACTGAAGGGAAGTATGCTAGACATGATGAAGTGTATGACATCATCAAGAGAAGTCTCTCCATAGCCCGTTGCCCAGCTGAATGGGAACCTCAAGTAATAAGGTCTGACAGAAGTCAAAAGCATCCAGATGGAATCACCGTGCTACCCTGGAAGAATGGTAAGCAGATTGCGTGGGAATAAACCTGTGCCTCCACGTTGGCTGACACCTACTTGCAGTACTCTGAAGCAGAAGGGGGTGCGGCAGCCAGTTTCAGGAAGACCGAGAAGACCAACAAATACACAGGGCTGCCACCATGCTATGGCTTCGTCTCAGTAGGATCAGAGCCCTGGAGCATGGATCAAGTATTCTCTAGAATTCCTAAAAGAGTTAGGTGAAAATTCTCATCACAGAAACCAAGGACTCCAGAGCGGGGGGCTTCCTCTTTCAGTGTTGCAATCCAGAAGGAAAATGCCTGCAGCTTTCTAGGCAAGCGGCCCTCCACCGGGGAGCTGGATGAAGTATTTGAGATGTAGGCCTTGAGATGTCATTTATGTTGCTCGTACCATTATATCTTTGCTAATGTATCTTGTTTATAAATAAAGTTCACATAGAATATAGGGGTGGTAGGAGAAGAAAATATTCAAAGAGCTCTGGGGAGAATTTTGAGTTTTTCCTGAAGTACATTTATTCTCTTCTCTAAGTTGAGGGTCCCTAGTCCAGTTCCAAAAGTTGTACCTCTATATACCTATATATATATATATATATATATATATATTATATATATATATATTATATATGTATTTATATATATATATATATTATATATATATTATATATATATATTATGCTTAACAATTCGCAAACAGGCGAAATTATTTACATTGTCCCTACGTCCACAGCAGGACTCGAATCTGCTAACTCTGTATCAGAGTCCACAGTGGACGTAGAGATAATGTTTGTAAATAATTTCGGCTGTTTGCGAATTGTTAAACATTACAAATTTCTTTCGTTGTCCACTGCATGTGGCAGGATTCGATGAAATAACTTTCAAAACGAGCTTGGTGCCCGGGGGTATGGTGCCCGGGGGTATGGTGCCCGGGGGTATGGTGCCCGGGGGTATGGTGCCCGGGGGTATGGCGCCCGGGGTATGGTGCCCGGGGGTATGGTGCCAGGGGTATGGTGCCCAGGGGTATGGTGGCCGGGGGTATGGTGGCCGGGGGTATGGTGCCCGAGGGTATGGTGCCCGGGGGTATGGTGGCCGGGGGTATGGTGGCCGGGGGGTATGGTGGCGGGGGTATGGTGGCGGGGGTATGGTGCCCAGGGTATAGTACCCGGGGGTATGGTGCCCGGGGGTATGGTTCCCAGGGGTATGGTGCCCGGGGGTATGGTGCCAGGGGTATGGTGCCCAGGGGTATGGGGTAACATCGCTTAGCTTCGGCTAAGCGCCTTTACTTATCTTGGGTCTAGCTCAGTGGTAAAGTACTGTGGACTCTGATACAGAGTTAGCAGGTTCGAGTCCTGCTGGTATCAGGGACAAAACTGAATATTTAGAGAAAATGAACCTTTTATTGAGTGATAATGAAACGAATGAACCGCTCATTAAAAACCCCACTGACCAAGTCAACAGCCATTTTAATAAACACCTTAAAACGTTATTGAAAGGGAATGATGAATTAATTAAATATCTGTCGGCTAGGTCAACAACTCTACTATATCTATATGGGGTAATCAAGACCCATAAGCCAGGGTACCCAGCCCGTCCCATTATTAGTTCAGTAGGCTCAACAGCTTATAATCTATCTAAATGGTTGGTTAAACTTCTACCTCCCATAGTTGGTAAGATCTCGGACTCACATATTAAAAATAATGTTGACCTCACTGAGAGGCTCCAGAAATTAAATGTCCCTCACGACTTTTCTTTAGTGAGCTTTGATGTCACAGCTCTGTTCACCAAAGTCCCTGTCCCTGACTTGCTTTCGTACCTCGAAGAGGAACTAGAAAACTTCCCCATGCCCTTCCCCACAAACAATAACTGAAATGATAAAACTTTGTGTTACTGATTGCAAATTCGTGTTTTAAGGGAAATTCTATGCTCAAAAACAAAGCATGGCATTGGGAAATCCCCTTAGCCCCTTACTCAGCAACCTATATATGGAATTCTATGAGACCAGACTCCTTAAGACATTCTCCCAGATAAAGCTAGTTGGTTCAGATACGTGCATGATGTTCTCTGCCTGTAGCCTAATGATCACAACACTGAAGAGTTTCTTCCCAGACTCAATGGCTTAGTGCCTTCCATTAAGTTCACCACAGAACATGAAGTAAATAACACTGCCGTTCCTAGATGTTTTAATCCATCGGGTCGATAGGAAATTCAAATTCACAGTTTATAGGAAGTCCACCAATGTACTGTCATACATTCACTACTATTCCAACCATAAAACCAGGGTAAAAAGGAGTGTGTTCCTCACAATGTTCTTGAGAGCACTGCGCATCTGCAATCCTAGAGGACGAATTCAGCAAGATATTCAACATAGCCACAAAACTAAGATATCCTAAGGATTTTGTCGAGAAGGCACTAATGTCAGCAAAAAAGACTTTCTACAGGACTGAACCTGAAGAAGTAATGGCCAGGAAAAATGTACTAATTTTACCATACAATGAGAATCTGGCTTGCCTGCGTGAGGCATTAGAAAAGAGCAATATAAACCTTGTTTTCAAAAACACGGGGACAGTGAAAGAAAGGTTGATTAAAAACACATCCTCCAACAAAGTTGGGGGGGGGTTACAAGGTCCCATGTACTCAGTGTCCCCTCTGATATATCGGTCAAACAGGTAAATTTCTGGAAACCAGAATTGCCCAGCATAAATACTCAGTCAGGACAGGGCAGGAGTCGAACGCTATCTTTAACCACGTTAATGCATGTAATCCCCCACCGGGGTGGGATGCTGCCCAGATTATAGTACCAAACAGTTCTGTCATGGAAAGAAACATAATTGAATCTTCCCTCTTGAAACATTAAAGAAATACAGGATACAACTCAAATTATGGGTTATACAAGCTCAATAATTATTTAGTAGAGTCCATTGTACACAATCTTAAACAACAATGCTATACAAAATCACAGGATTGTTTATTATGCCAGATGGGTTGATGGATTGGCGACGCCC